CATATATAGTGTTTTGCAATGCGTGGTTCTTCGTGTGTGCGTAGTTCTATAAGCTTGTGGAATCTCTGGTTGCAGATCGCATTGGTATGGCTGCATGAATGCTGCCATGTTGTGTTGCCATGTGCGTAGATCCATGCGGGTTTCGCGGCGTTGCCAAACGCATTGGAATGGCTGCATGAGTGTTGCATAGGTCTTGTCCTGGGGAGGAAGCCGGAGCGCGAAACATTGTGCTTTTTCAGGTAAAGGGGGTTGCAGTCGGAGATGAAGGGCAGGTCGTGTGCGAGGCGGTTGAGGGCCGTTCGTTTTGGTGCGTGATTGGTTCCTCCATGGTGTTTTGCAATGCGTGCTTCTTCGTGTGTGTGCGTAGTTCTATGCGCTTGTGGTCTCTGGAAATCTACATTGTCTTTTGCAGCAGGGCCTTACACGAACTGCCCTTCATCGCCAGCTGCAGCCACTTGACTTGAAAAAACAATGTTTCGCGCTCCGGCTTCCTCCCACAACAAACCCCATGCAACAGTCATGCAGCCATTACAGTGCGTTTTGCAGTATCAGGTGGCAACCCGCATGTACATGGCAAAACCACTTCCCGAAGTCATCACTTCCCTAAGTCACCACTCCTGTAAGTCAGTCACCACTTCTCAAAGTCACCATTTCCGAAAGTCATCATCACTTCCCAAAATCACCACTTCTGTACGTCACCACATCCCTAAGTCACCACTTCCCAAAGTTATCACTTCCCCAAGTCACCACTTCTCTCAATCACCTCTTCCTTAAGTCACCACTTCTCAAAGCCACCACTTCTCTCAGTCACCTCTTCTCGAATTGTGACAAAGTTATGTGTGAAAGATGGTGTGTGACAAAGTTGTGTGTGAAAGATGGTGGATGTGAAAGATGGTGTGTGACAAAATTGTGTGTGACAAAGAGCTGTGTGACAAATTTGTGTGTGACAAAGATGTGTGTGACAAAGTTGTGTGTGAAAGATGGTGTGACAAAGTTGTGTGTGTGACAGGGAGGCGGCGGAGAGGGAGGAGGACAAGGAGGAGCGGGACACAGAATAAAAAACAAGAACCCCACACAAAGATGTGGGGAAAAAGCAAAAAGTGTGAGGACACCAGTTTTCTTCATTTTTCTTCCGTGTTGTTAAACCTGCTGAGTGACACTGAGCCAATCTTGACATAGGACCACCGACATGGCAGTGTGAAGGCCCAAATTCACGGCCATTGGAAACAAACCGAAAAACCTCGGCCGCCAAAATTGAAAGTCTGGGCCAGACCCCCACGTCCACCACTGGGGGGAATTGCTCTAGCTGCACATCCAGTCGAGATGGCCCAATGGATCACACCAGCCGCACAATTGAAGCTCCCAAGAGGTGTGAAGCTTTGGGTATTGTTGTGATTTGATGTGGTTTCTTGATTTTAATGTTCCAATATGATTCAACATCTCGACCCCTTTAAGATCCGCCCTCCATACTGAAAATTGCTGTGAAGAATGCCAGGGAGCCGCAAAGTGCTCGACAAATGTCCTGCTGCCATCTTGAACACCTTGGGGCTTGCTTGATGAAGCTTTCTGAAGCTTTCAGGAGAAGCAAATCATGGGAAATCATCGGCGAACTGTTTGCCCATCAGTACATTGGTATGGGTCCAACTTGGGCGCCCCAAAAAATTGGATAGTTCATGTGAGTTCATGACAGTTCCTCCTCCAACTCCCCTCACACCTTCCATCTCTTAGAGTGAGGATCCATAATTCGGGAGCCCTAGCGCCCTAGCCATCCTTTTCATGGCCAGCCATCCAACCTCAAAGCAGCTGATCTTCAGCACGGTTGAGATAAGGGGTCGCAGCCATGCCGCAGTGCTTGGATTCAGATTGGGCAGAACCACTGCGAAGTCCAAGGCGATGTAGTTCACGGGAAGCACTGCAGCTGCAAAGCAAACCACCAAGCATGACAAATCCTGGCGGGGAACCATTTGGCAAAGATCCCCAAAGCCGACGCCCCTATTGGGTACGGTCCGGTATGTTCTAAACACAAACCCCGAATGGATCCACATGGTTTATGATTCGGTGTGGTTTATGGTCTCGTCTTGCATGGTCTGGCCAAGGCTTATTTTACCATTTTAGACAATTGTTATTGCATCACTTTCATCCTCAAAGATCTCCAAAGTAAATGCTGGTTCAGTGAAGAAATTATCGACACCTGAGTTGCCATTTCTTTGGAGACGATTGAAATGGATGATGGGAGTCGACTTCTGGCTTTCCCTTGGAAATGGCCCAAAGTCAAATCAAAATTAACTTTCTTGGCTCACGGATTAGGATCTTTCAAGAAGTGGATCCCACCGGCTCTCATGTAGCGCCACTGGGAAAGGCCCAACTCTGGCCATAACAGATCCCCTCTACAGCATCGTATGCCAGCAATCATGGAAGGCAGAAAGAACAGGCACGTGATGGTAGGCCAGAAGCACGTCGAGAAAAATACCTTTGCCAAACGTGACCGGTTGTTCTCGTTTTACCATGTTTTACCATCCCGACAAAAATGCTGGCTATGGTAAGTTGTGGGCAACTGCATTACAGAAACCTCCCGCAAAAACAGCGATTCGATGCCATCCTCGTAAATTTTGAATTCCAAATTTGGGTGGCTGCCATCCAATGTCCAAGATGTGCAAGTAACTCATAGTAACTCCATGTGCTAGAATTGGTCTCTAAAACATACCAGATCATACCGGCACGGGTTTGGGGTCAAAATTGCAAGATCTTCAGCCTTCAGAACTTTCGGACCCCCAAATTTGATCAATTTTTAGTACGTGCCGTGTTGATGAGGGGCGGGGGTGTCTTGTTGCAGCGCAAAACAAGATGAAAGCACTGGCATTTACGGCATTTTGTGAATATTGGAGTTTCAAACCAGCGTTCTTACACCCCCACCCCCCATGCCACCACCCGAATGGCCTTTTTGAAGACAAATGGTATTTTGAGCAAAGACAAAAACACACGGTCCCTGACCAGCATGGTACCTTTTTGGCATGAATGGTTTTTGCGCACCACAATCTTGACCCATACCTAAACTATATTCGAAAAGACAATATGGACAGATGGAAAAGCAGAGGTGAGAAGAGTCAGAGAAGAGAAGAGCAGAAGAGAGAAGATCAGAGAAGAGAAAGAGTCAGAAGAAAGAAGATGCAGGTGCGCGAAAAGGTAGAAAGTCGCGAAATACTGTGTTTTTCCAATGATTTGTGGCTCCAAAGAGTGGGAAAGTAGGCTCGCTAAAGCGGCGGGTGCGGAGCCATGTGGCCAGATAAGAGATTAAAAGTTGCACGCCGTTGTGGCGCGAAGCACGTTTGGAAGTCAACATGTCCAAAACACACCAATTCTCGGCAAATTCTCGGACCACTTTTGGAAGTTGAGATGTTGAAAAAGTGCACGCCGTTGTGGCGCGAAGATCCCCCTGTGAATTCCATGGGTTACTTGGGGGCTCGAGCTTTGTAACCACAAATGAAGTATCAGGTTTTTTTAAGTTGAAACAGGGAACCCACGACGCTCCACTACACTAAACTACACTACACTCCACTCCACTATACTCCACTACACTCCACTACACTACAACAACAACAACAACAACAACTAGAACTACAACTACAACTACCCTACGGTGACTATATTTAAATCTACGGCTACGTTACGGACTTTTAAATATATACGAACAGGTATTTTAGACTACCTCGGGGAAGGTTTTCCTTGGCCCGCCCGGCCATTTAAACATACGGAATCCAATTCATATAAACATCCGGCAAGTACATCTAAATATACGAACTGGTATTTCATCCTACCTCCGGGGCCTCGTAGTCTGGCCCGCCCTCCACATATTTAAATGTCGTTACCGTACGTTACACTACACTACACTAGTTTAATGACATTACACTCCACTCCACTCCACGCCACCCCACTCCACTAACTACAACTACAGCTACAACTACAGCTACAACTACGCTACTTTACACTACACTGCACTAGACTAGACTACACTACCCTACGTTACATTACGCTACCACCACAAATGCAACTGCAACTACACTACACTAATGACACTACAACACAACTACAGCTCCACTACACGACAACTACAACTACAGCTGCGCTACACCACACTACATCCAGCAGTTGCGGGTGAGGCGACCGACCATGTGACCACTGCAACCATTGCAGCCACTTCAAAAAACACAACTCCAACCACCTTTCGGTCCATCAGTGGGTTCGCTCTGCCATTCGCGATTCACAGCAACCAAGCTCTCCTATATAGGTTTCCTATTCTGAAACTTCCGCCACTGCCTTGTGCGGCACTACCATCGTAATATAGTATAGGTAATACAATGAATGACGATGAATCAAATAGAATTCTGAAAAGGACAAGACGCTTTGAAATGAGTGTCCGCCCCGACAATGTAGGGGAATGCGACATCAGCAATGATGAATGGCAGCAAACTAATGATCAAAAAGTAGCGGTGGATCCGCCAATTCCGCATCAGCCGAGGATTGCAACAACCTGGGAAGAAGCTCCCCAGGAAAAACGGACTGAATGCCCACGCCAATCGGTTCATGAAACCCGTCCAGAATGTTGCTTGTTGGTGCCCTGGCACTGGCCATAGCCCGCTGAGAGCCAGCGAAATTGCAAAGAAGACAGCGACGACGATCGAAGATGAGACTATGGTGAGGACACTTCTAGCGATGCGGTAGGGCGACAGTCCGGTGACGCATGTTCCTTCTGCGCCTTCGCTAAGGCCTTCGAAGAACTGTGAGAAGTCACCTGCGTCCTGGATAGCGTATATAGAGTATCTGTTTCTATCTCAGCAGCTTGCTGCAGTCTGTGAGTAGGAAAAAAATATTGACTATGATAGATTGGGGAACTCTAATGTAACTAGCTATGGTAAACGGTTGTCTTGAATCAAAGCCCAACAGTTCAACCAGGCAATTGCTATAGTAGCATTAAAATAATTTAGTTTGTCATTGGCTTCCGCCTGCGCCGCAGCCGACCAACTCGCTCTCCGAAGTCCGCTGTTGACGCTGACTTTTACCACGCTCATCATGGTTGACCTGGCCGTAAGTTGTTTGCCGTTGTGCTCTCCCATGCTTGGGTTCTTCAACATTCTTGACAGCAAATATCGAAATATGAAACAAGCGTATCAAAAAGTGGTTAATTAATAGTAGATGTTCACCCCATTTTCGTCAGCTCTCATGCTGTATCAGTCCATTATTCAGGTGAATCTCGTGGCCTCTCTCCATTGTTCAACCGGGTTTGTCTGAATAACAGGGTGCCCCTAAATCTGCGTGTTTATCATCATATTCCCTATGAATTCAAACGGCCGTAAGCTGACCCATATCATGACATTACCATTGGATCCCCATCATATCTCCATTCAACCGTATATTTGACATTTAATATTCATATATCAGAAGATTCCTTGTGACCTTGTTTGTGTTTTCTGCTAAGTGGCCTTTAGAAAGAGGTCAGTTAAGGAACGAGCCAAAAAGTGGCCTACCAGGGACACGCAAGTGACACGCAGGTGACACTTGCAGACAGCCAATCCTTAAGTGACCTTTTCAAGGCTTAAGTGACCTTTTCAGGGTCCTAAGCGACCTCCCACCTCGAAACCCCAGTGGCAGGCAATGACACGCAGTGACACGCAGAAATCATGTGATCAGCCAGGCAAAGAGGTCACTTAAGGATTTTTGAAACGAGGTCACTTATGCATGATTGATCTTGTAAGTGACCGTTTGGCACTTTGGGTCTAAGTGGCTTCCATTAGAGGGCAGAAGTAACTGCCTGGTAATAACATATTTATATATTTATACGTATACTTACCAGTAGTACCGCACAAGGCGGTGGCGGAAGTTTCAGAATAGGAAACCTATAGGAGACGTTGGTTGTTGTGAATCACGGATGGCAGAGCGAATCCACTGATTGAACGAAAGGTGGTTGGAGTTGTGTTTGCTGGAGTGGTTCCAATGGTTGCAGTGGTCACCTCACCCACAACTGCTGGATGTAGTGTGATGTACTGCTAACTGTAGTTGTAGTTGTAGCGTAGTGGAGTTGTAGTTGTGGTGTAATGTAATTAGTGTAGTGTAGTTGCAGTCATATAGTTGTAGTTGTAGTTGTTGTAGTTGTTGTGTAGTTGTAGTAGTAGTAGTTGTTGTTGTTGTAGTTGTAGTTGTTGTAGTTGTAGTTGTTGTTGTTGTTGTTGTTGTTGTAGCTGTAGTTGTTGTGTAGTTGTAGTTGTTGTCTAGCGTAGTTGTAGTTGTTGTAGTTGTAGTTGTTGTAGTTGTTGTTGTTGCTGTTGTTGTAGTTGCAGTTGTAGTTGTAGTTGTTGTTGTTGTAGCTGTAGTTATTATAGTTCTAGTTGTAGTTGTTGTGTAGTTGCAGTTGTAGTTGTAGTTGTTGTTGTTGCTGCTGCTGTTGTTGTAGTTGTAGTTGTAGTTGTTGTTGTAGCTGTAGTTGTTATAGTTCTAGTTGTAGTTGTTGTGTAGTTGTAGTTGTAGTTGTAGTTGTAGTTGTAGTAGTTGTAGTTGTAGTTGTAGTTGTAGTTGATGTTGTTGTTGTTGGTGGTGTTGTTGTTGTGGTTGCGGTTGTGGTTGTTGTTGTTGTTGTTGTTGTTGTTGCTGTTGCTGTTGTCGTCGAAGTTAGGGTAGTTAAGTTAGTGAAGTTAGTCAAGTTAGTTAAGTTAATCAGTGTCTACTTTTTCGACATCGTAACGTCAAAAAAGGCTCAAAACCCTCAGTTTTTTACACTTTTGACTTCGAAATGTGCTTCGCGCCACAACGGCGTGCACTTTTTCGACATCTGAACCTCCAAAAGTGGTCCGAGAATGGTGTGTTTTGTACATTTTGACTTGGAAATGTGCTTCGCGCCACAACGGCGTGCACTTTTTCGACATCGCAACTTCCAAAAGTGGTCCGGAGCTGAGGCGTTTTGTACATTTTGACTTGGAAATGTGCTTCGCGCCACAACGGCGTGCACTTTTTCGACATCTCAACTTCCAAAAGGGGTCCGAAGCTGAGGCGTTTTGTACATTTTGACTTGGAAATGTGCTTCGCGCCACAACGGCGTGCACTTTTTCGACATCGCAACTTCCAAAAGTGGTCCGAGAATGGTGTGTTTTGTACATTTTCACTTGGAAATGTGCTTCGCGCCACAACGGTGTGCAATCATTGGAAAAACACAGTGTTTCGCGACTTTCCTACCTTTTCGCGCATCTGTATCTTCTGTCTTCTTACTCTTTCTCTTCTAATCTTTCTCTTCTCTATGCCTCTTCCCTGCTCTGCTTTTCATCTCTCCATATTGTCGGAAGTTTGACTTCTAAACTTCCTTCGATGATCCTGATGTTTATTGGCTGAATAATGGCTACCTATGAAAAATCCCCACGTTTAACCCATCCCCACCTGAATCGCGAAGAGGCTCGATCCCAGGAGCTCTTGCGCGTCGCAGTCTCCGTGATGGAAAACTTCATGGAGTTCGCTACGGCGCCATCGGCGTCGTTCACCTCGGGCTCGGGCACCTTGGGCACCACCTCGGGCACCTCCAACTGGATCGCATCGAGACCCACGCCGAAATTCACCTGGAAAATCAAATGTGGGAAATGAATTTCCATGAGAATCAAAAGGCTTTAATATGCCCGATAATCTCAATCTCGACTTTTTCTGCTAATTTCAATCTTTTTCATGCTTCACCTTATGACTTAGATGAATAGTTATGACCCAAATGTCCATCCCAACTTGGCTACCCAAGCACTGACACCAGAACTGGATATTCATTTCGTAGAAACTCTTCCGGCATATCCTTTTCTGCCATGGCCTAGCGGCCCCTTGTGGGCAATGATGGCAATGATCGGGGACGCACTGAACCCAAAGGTTTCGACGGGCGGCGAGTGGAACAAGTTTTGGCCAACATGTGAAGCATGTAGATGAGATGATGATAGATCATATCAGTCATATCACTTTGTGCAGAAGGACAAATGTGTTTAGCCAGTGGAACCCCAAGTCAGTTTTTGTACTTTTTTGTTTTTTTAACTTATTTGCTCTTATTGTTGCCACAGCTGTTTAACTATGGACATCCGTTCTCTATGATGGCAAACAATCACTATTACAATACAAGTACACTTAACACAAATCTTAAACAGTCTTAAACTATCTTGATCCGGCTCTACCCAGTGTGATAATGTGTAACTTACTGTACTATTTAAAAACGTATTTATTACACATGTTTTTGCACTTGTTGCAGTCAGGACCAGAGGAACATCCAGCCTGGACTCTTCGGAGCTTCCTGGTGTCGGGTTTTCTTTTGGTGAGGCCAATGCAATGGGCGCAAGAAGAAATTGTTCTTTGATGTTCTTTGTATTTTCGTTTGGTTCTTGAATGTGTTTTTATCCATTAAACAAATCATAACAATATAACATATTTGAAATAGAACATGTATTTTTGTGTATCTTCAGGTGCTTTTAGTATTTTTGAAGCCACGTGCCTTACTAAAATGGCAAGCAACACGCATGGGTCCATGATTTCCACAAAGAAGTGGTAGCAGATGGTTCCATCTGCCAACCTCTTCCAGTCCTGACCCTTCTGCATCATGGATTGAAACGTCCCGAGATGGAAAAAAAAACGGCCACGGTATTTCCACCGGGATCAAATCTTCCTTGTGAGATGTTGGTGTCAGAGCTTGGCTATCATGGGTCTCATGGTCTGAGTCTAGACTATAGAGTGATTGGGACATCTCAGTCTCCTAGTGCTCTTAGGTCGCTCTTCTCGTTGCGATTGTTATCGTTTGATATTGACCGATGGAGCTGGTATGCTAAGGAAAGAGGAAGTTAACTGTTGACTATTCTATTAACCATATTGTTTCTTGACCTACTTCTGCAGCCCCTCAGTCTGGCTTAATCTTGCGGCTGCGCGCGAAGATTGGATCAATGGTGTGAATCTCAAGGCAAATAGTAGCGTTCTTCATTCATCTGTGAATGGGAACATATAATAGTGTGTTGGTAGCACACCGGAGCCACAGGTTCCCTCAGAATCCCAAAGAGTATGATGGAAGTGCTCGGTGTTGTTTGGTGCCAATACCAAAAGACGTGGTTACCACGGCTCAAGGTTAGGACAACACAAGTCCTAAACGCCAACGATCTCACAAAGTCAGCTGTTTATACCACGCAGCACACGAATGCCGGTTTGGCATATGTCATGGCACAAGGGTACCCTATGATCCGTGGGGATTTGTGCCAAGAAGATTCATGGAAGCCAACACACATCATTCATGCTCAAGTGGTTGAGGCTGTTCAGACTCAGAAACTGACATAGTGGGCATTGTCTTCGTATCTTGCTTCTGATCATGCTGCGAACGGGATGATTCCTAGCAATATGTAACCAATCAAAGAGCTGGTAAACTCGCAGGAATTTGCAGCTCACCACTTTCTTTTCCACGTTTTGAAGGTCAAACACACATCTGATCTCGGAATGCCAAACATGACAAGCAGCCAATCCTGGTCCAGTTTTCTGCAGCTATATACTGAATCAGTGAATCATGTTTCGAACTCCCCAAACTATGCATCAGTCCCTGCAATCCCCGAAAACAAAGCTTCGCTGCAAAAAAAAGGTGAGGGGCCAACAGGTACAAGATCCTACAAGCATATAAAAACGTACTCATGTGGGATGCTCCGTCCCCTTTGCCCATCGCGTTCCATTTTCATTTGCTGCTCTGGTTTGGATCCAGCCCTACATGGCTTCAATAATCACCTGCAGGCGTGGGAGCATTGCATATGGCAAATTGAGAACACGGAAAATCAAGACCCGAAAACTTCAGTATTTGCTACCTCATGGATCCTAATGGTATATCATAGCTGTACAATGTACTTTGGCACATTCCCTATATCATTCCAGTTGGCCAAATTCTTGTAGACTTGCAGGTGTCAACTCTGGACATCTACCATATACCCATTCGAAGTGTCACCTGCAGTGCGAGTCATATGGGTAAAGGATGGTGAATGCGACAAACCACAATCTATGGTCATCCAGGCCTGAAATTCTGACATATTCAGGCCCCGTGCCCATACCACCTGGCTTTCTATATGTATGTGAGGTGTTTCTACCATTTTCTACCCTTTTCGACGCGTCCTACAAGTCCCAGTCAGTCCCAGTCCCCATGGTTTGACCGTTTGACCTCAACCTTTGACCACGGCCACTGGCTTCAGTTTGATGGCTTTCTTGGAAATCCCGGCATCATGGCCTGGCCACGGGTGAGACCCATCTTCGAACCCGCGGTGTGACACAGGCTTTATATGGGCCTATTATGGGCTTATATTGGGACCTATGGGTTCGTCTGGTTTATGTGGTTTATATAGGAGCTATATACATATATACATATATGTATGAATCAACATCAACAAAAAGGAGGGAGGGACTGGTAGAACTAACTATGCGGTCCAACCTGCTCTCTGATAGGGACTGGAGAGTCACCAAACTTTCGAACAACAAACCATTGATCATATTTTACCAATATACATTACATCCAACATATATAATATATCCGTCAAATTCATGAGTGACATGTTCATTTCAGTCTTGGTTGGATATGGTGTTGCCGTAGACCTGTCGTTCTTGTTCCTGTTTCATTTTTTCATGTCCTATATACGGCGGCCGAGATATAATTCACCAAACCTGAAATAAGGCGAATTTGGGATGGTTCCCCCTATATACTAACGATCAGCTTTTGGTGATGTCGTGACAACGTCATCAGCCACAAAAAAACGGAGACGTGTTGGCCGTCACCCCAAGTCTCCAGAGCCAAATCTTGAGGCAAGGGGCAAGTCTGTACCACTTGCGTCACATCTTTGTAACCTCAGAAGGTGACCTGTCACCTGTCACCTGTCACCGCTGGCTGTTCCTTGATTCCCTTGAGTTTTTGAGGATCATCATCTCAACTAGACTGGAAACACACACTGAATTTATCTGAGTAATCCTAAATATACCCATGATTAAAACGGTATACTCATCCATCCCATAGCCATCCCAACCATTCCCAACCTACAATGCCTACATTAACCCCATACCGCTGGCTTGACCCCTGTGAGGTCCAAACTCTCCGGAGCTTCTTCCATGATCAACTTGGGCGAGGCCACGCGGATGGAAATTCCCATGTCCTGGATGGGCCGGTGGGCGTCTGGAGAGGTTTGTCTCGGGGACAAGGAGATGATCGAAATGGGAGAATTTGGAGTGATTCAAAATCAGCTTCAATCAGGGCATTTTACGTGTTTGTTTCTGTGAGAAGAAAAAACAGAAGAACACAGTGAATTCATTGACCCCAATGATTGTGTTTTCTGTCGTCGAAAAACACCATGTAAAACTTAAACATTCATGCCTTGGAAATGGAAAGAATGATAATCAAGTGATTTCTCTTGGAAACAACAACCCTTGCCCTCGAGAAACCTCACAGAAGCAACGTCTCCTCCAGTCTCTTCAGCACGTCTCCATAATCCAAATTGTTGCGGGACTTGTTTCGACCTTGGCACAATGGTGGCAATACTGCCAAAGCTACGTTCTCATGCGCAACACGCACGAATGATCAGGAACTACCGCAGAACAAAAATACCTTTAGAACATCATTTGGTTCGATCTCTTGGATGCATTCCCCTGCACTTATATATATAATATTATATTATATGGATTTACATATGTATTTTGCGGTGTAACTGCCCTGCTGTGTCCACTAGGTGCGACAACTTAGTGCACGCCCTGCACCGTGACAGGTAGATCCAAAGGTCTCTCTCATTCCTGGCTCTGATTCTGATTGGCAAATTTGCCAAGTTTGTCCAATAGGGGGGGACACACCAAAACGGCCATTGATCATTGTATGTCATTTTGTATGGTATTGTGTAACGGTGATCCATTTTATGTACACAGGAGAATGATGATTAAAACATATCAAACCCTTGGATTTCGGGAGTACCACATTTTTGTTCACCCCATGTCAAGAAACTTTCGCACACACATTCATAAATGCATGTTTCCATTGTTTCCATTGCTCAAACATGCTCAAACCAGTGGATTTCAAGGGGTGGTGAAAATAACAGTCCTTGACCAGCACATCTGCAGGTCCGGGAGTTTTGATTTCAACAAGCAGCTATATACCACTTGATCCAGCATATTTGAAACATGTGGAAACTGCTACGGCATTTCACCGAATACGTCCAAATACGTCCACGTGCTCACATCAGAAACCCAAAAATGTCCTAAAGGATGGCTTCAAAATCATTCATTCAGTGTATCAGAAAACAACGTCTGCCGGGCCCTTGTCAGTGCCAGTTAGCACATAGGAGCATGTGCCCATGGTTCCTGGCCATGGCATATGGTGCCGGTTGGTCGGAATCCCTTCCCCCCAAGATTGAATATCCCATAACATCCCCCGAGGAATGCCTGGTTTTAGTATTGGATCTTCTTATTTGGTGGCCCATATGGGAGGGATTTTTGTCTATAAGATCAAGGAAGGGGATTGCCAGAATCGAAAATGACCCTGTTCCCCTGGTCACAGAAAAAAAACAGCCAAGCTGGTGAGCCTTAGAAGGCTTCGGTGCAGTGAAACATCCGTAATATCTGTATATGATACAGACATATAAACAGTACGAACAACATGAGCCAATTGGGATAATCTGACCAGCATGCACTATAATTACATTCAAACCTTGTTGAGTTTCCAATAAGATTCCACCGCACTAAAACACGAAGTTCCAGGACCCGTTGTCCAAACATGTCCAAACCATTAGCAGTCACAGTGGTGCATTATGATTATCAGCTCTCTGATCTCCTCGGCCCAACTGTCCCCTCCACTGAGCATCAATCAGCTTTCCATCATGCGCGTAATCATTGGAGACTTCCCAAAATGGGAAAAAAACACAGATTGTCATTCAGATTATCACAGTTAATAACAGTTAATACCTCAGGTCTGTTTGGGTGGGAATGCCCTGCCAGGTTTCATGTCGGCGTCACGGTCCTCCGACGATCACTGGCTGCCCTGTGAGCTGATAGTCCACAGGAATCAGCGGATGATGAGGCCTCAGGGTCTGCAGAGAAAGCTTCTCATCTTAACGGTCATATTGATGGGTATATACTGTAATATTATATTATTATATTATATATATATGATGTATGGATGGCAACAATGTATCGAAATGAGAAGGGTTCGAAATAATTATGTATTTTGCATGTATATGATTTGTATGCATTTGTATGTATTTGTTGCATCTTGATATATTGTAATACATTGTACCTGCATCATGCATAGATGTCTTGTTGCAAAGTGGTCACTTTATGTCATGATAATGGGTCTGTCTCTAAACAACCCGTCATTCTTTACCACCATACACTTCTATCCCGAGGAGAAAATCGCCGTTCTTCCTTTTGAATCCTTTTGACACATTCCAACAAAGCATCAAATCCAGTTCACCCAAGTAAATATAAGTAAATACTGAAGAGTGGTCCCTGTCACAAAACATTCTTTGAGGCATTCACGGGAATGCTCGGGTCGAGCCCTTGCGATGGACAAGCAGCTGTTTGCAGGTACCATCCACCTTGGCGCTATCCGGATCGCTGCAGGGGGCGGCTCGTGGATGGCAATGACTGCATGGAGCGGCAAACATGAAGGGCATCAACACCATGTGCCTGTGCTACTGCATCTACTACCAACAGAAAGACACTACTTTCCAAGATCTAGCTGATGTTCCTGTTCCATCTATTTCCACCTCAATCTTACCAGCTGTATGATGGATTATCACCCGTGGGGCAGCCCATGATTCATCAGAACCTTCTGCTATTGCGACCTCCATTGATCCAGTTTTTGGATTGGGCCGTGGACAAAATGCTCCTCCACTTTGGCGATGTTATGCGACACATCCTGCCCAAAACTTGCTGCCCAGGCGGTTCAGCTATGTCCATGGCATCAAACTCCACCAATATCTCCATGTCAGCTTGGTATTGGGAACCCCAGGTTCATTCAGGGGTCAGAGAGGCAACAGTTTACCATAACTTACCCTGGTATACATATGTGTATATATGTATATTGGAATCCAGCCTCTTGAACAACTTAGGGGGCTATTTTTTCACCGGTTTGGGCATTGACTTTCAGAAGATGGCATTCAGCATCTGGATGACATGATGGTGATGTGCATGTACGGTGATGACAAGGCTCATCGCCACTTAAAGATTCAAAGTCCATCATAAAAACAGGATTTATCTGCAATTTCCTAGATAAGAACATCATTATGATCATGATCCCATAATCACTATATATGACTATATACATAATATACTATATGACTATATATACATATATATATATATATAGATAGAGATAATATAATAATACTATATTTTATCACCATCAACATGGTCACGATCATCAGTTTCTACTCTATGACTCGAACATCTCCAGCTTGTTGCTGCCAGGATGCATAGATCACGTGCATATCCAAATCTTCTGGCGATTGGTTGAAGACCTCGCTTCAAACTCATGGGGACAAGACATGATTCAGTAGGGGGGTACCCTAATCAGCGATTTCCTCTTTCAAATCAAATCAAACGATTAAGTGTTTTTCTTGGTCTTATATTGTGACATACAAAAATGGATGCAAAGCACAAATCCCAACTTGGTGATGCATCCCACTTAGTCAATACCCCCAATTATATATAGAATATCCCGTAATATCCCCATTTATATATATATATATGGGATTATGGGATTATCGGGGATATATATGGATTATATATATATAAATATATATATATATGGATTATAAACATTTATAAACTACTTACTAAGTGGGATGCACATCCACAATTCACCACCCGACGCTAGGCCTTGGCAAAGGCCTGACGCGTCAGGAACGTCATGGACGAACGGTTCACCCAGGCGTAGTTGGCTGCAGCAGACATCGCCTGGCAAAAGTACGGGATACAAAACAGATTGCTACATGTCCTCTAAATAGTACTAAACAAGTGCAAAATACTTTCATTGAAGTGATGAACATGATGAACATTGATAGTACAAAGTACTGGGAATGTTGAAGATCATCTCGAGGTGATGAAAACCATATGAACATAATGAAAGCGATGTGCAGTGAATATCACAATGCTGACAACAATCTGATTTCATCATGCTGCATCCATCATTGGGGAAGCTTTGCACCACTGCATTTAACTTCCCTGGCCTTAAGATAATGCTGTCCTTCGTCCTGGGAAAGTTGCCGCAAAGACAGAGAAAACACATAATTCAGGAGGTGTTTGTTTCTTTTTTGCGAGGCCGTATCTGATGGAACCACATCTCAAAGGTCGAGCACTCTGCCTACACTCTACTGGTGCAGTTTTCAGTGAAAGTGGCAAACAGAACTAGGTAGCAGGAGGAGGAGGGCTCATCTCATCTGCATGGCAACTCAATTGTTATGGTTTCATAGGGAATAATGTGATCAAACGGCATAGGGGTATGGTGCTAGTTATGAACAAAATTTCAAGATTGTACCTCTTCCCAAACCCACGATCATAGTATAGTTCAATATTCCACGGCCGCTGGTGCATGTTTAAAGCTGACAAGGGCGAAACATCTGACCAATCTCCAAATTCCAATGTTGCATCATGACAACAAGGAATGTCTTCAAACTCCCATACCGTAGCTACTTAAAGTATGTGTATATATATATACGTATATATATACATATAATCAAAACATTCGAATCCACAAGTCTCCCAGTATCTTCAGGTATAATGTCTATTAATGGTAGATTAGTGTATATCATTGAAATCCTTGGTTTTCCTTTGAAGCCTCAGCCTCAAAATCCATTCCCATCGCCCATCAGGGCATCCCAGCCGAGTGGATCCGTGCGCAGGCCAGCTGTCGGTCATTGGTACGGATGTTGTCGCGAGTCCTCGATGAACCAAGGGAGCCACGGGGGAGGTTACAGTAGATCTATGGATATCATTGGATATCCTATATGTCACTTATATCTCATAAGATATTATATACTATTATTATTATTATATTATGATATTATTATTATATATTATTATTATTATTATTAATATCATTGTTATGTATTACTAAAATTATTATTATTATTATTTATTATTATATATATATATATCACCTATGCATGGTTTTATCTGTTTCTGTATATCTATGCAAATTATATCAAATTATTCTGCAATATATCAGCTTCAGAATACGACATATGAATTTGTAGCTGACACATGCAGGGAGTTAAACAAAACAAATGATATACTATATATATATAATATACATATTCACACAATCATACATACAATCTGATACAACCATATACATCCATATACGACCAATGATCATGACACTAATTGACAGCAATTGTGGATATAAGTAACACTTCGGGTACTGTATGGTAAACAAAAAAACAACTTTGGGATATAGATGAATATAAATGATGTAGCCAACAATGATAGCAATTATCATCACATCTTAGCGTGGAACTCTTAATTCTGGGATTTGTACACCCCTCAGAGTGCCAGTAGGCCATGACCACGGGACCCATTCCCTGTATCTCTTTGGATTTTAGGTACTCGTCCACGGGATGTGGCTTGGTGTGGCTTGGTGGCAATGCCATGGCTGAGCGAAGCACATTGCTCTCTCCATGTCGACCAGGGCATCAGTTGCGACCTGGATCTATGCGGGCGCTTTCGAACCCGGCAACTTTTTTGGACATGCCTTTATGATTGCATTCAAACCTTTGGCACATCCCAATTTCGCAGGAAGACATCTCCATATACTATGGCTATGGGATCACAATTGCGTACCCAAAAACGTGATGGTTTACCACCCGAAAAAACATTGCGAAAATCTGAAGTGGTATCCACCCCAAGCTGTGCCTGGTGTCCCAAACCACGGCTGCCAGAGTGGATCATGACCTGTGGAAAGGGCAATGAACATCTTGTCCTTGAGGAAATTGATTTAAGGGGGGGGAAAGGAAGTCCATGAGTTTCTAGCAGTGAACATGTTTATTTTACATAGTTGTGGCTCTTTTTTGAAAAGGAGTCCACCACAATATGTACTCAGTGGATGCGGAGGCAGCCCCAACTGACTATGGTGACAGCACTTCGTGCGTCCAAGGGGCACAGACCTGTCCTTTCTGGTCAATGCCCATCTTTTTGGCCACAAACTCATCATAGATCTCATCCACCACCTCTCAAAGGTGCTTGTGGCATGTGGTATGTGACACAGGGTATGCGAATCATGGGAACACATGGTGACTTAACTTGATTTAACTAGCAGCCTAGCAACAAAGACGGCGCTTCAACTTCTCATGACTTTTCAACGTATAGATCTACTATATCACTATATATCACTCCACCATTATATAATCATATATAATCCATGAACATGATGGATTGAAACCATACCATACATATGGGGCTTTCACCCATTGGACTAAAGTTTCAGGGCAAAATCTGAGATTCCAAACTGCCCATCCCGCCTCTGGGCCAGCTGTTTGAAGCAATGTCCATCCCATCTTTTGGGTTCCCGATTTTTACCCACCAGAAATTCACCACCCCATCCCCAAAAGCTCTGTACTTTCATTGGTTGGACATTCCAGAAAGGCAACCTCTGGGTCAAACCCTCAGTAGGTGAAATTCATGTTTTTCACACAGTATATAAATACCATGTTATAAATCATAGAAAATAGTTTAACCCAGCCATCCATTGGCTGGTGATCAACCCAGCCCCATCCCCTCCATCTTCACCTGGATCTCTGCGTAATGATTTCCTGCACCCAAGGTGCCCAACTGCGGCAGCCCACGCCTCGATGCCATGGCTTGGGGAATGTGGATCTCATGGGAAAATACCACATGAAACTCGAAGAAGGGACTTGGAATAGTATGTTTCTTGAGATTTCTTGAGAAGGACATTGCAATCGTTGGGTTCCAAGTCTTCAATAGTTCTTTTGGATGGTACAGAACTTGAGACATTGTTTGGAAATCGTATTTCATGGAACATTTGGCTGATGTCATACTGAGTTTTCCATTTCTTGAAGCACATCCACACATTTTGTATGCCTACGTCGGAAGGGAGAACATTGCTTTGAAAGGTCGCTGTTTGGGAAACACCTCAAATGGATTCAAATGGGGCAAAGTCTTTGGAGAATTCAAAGCGCGAATTATTTGCATAATAGTATAGATCATGGACTCATGGACAATTTGACCATGGAGAGGCCAACCATCCTGGGGTGAGACCTCTCTTGACATGTGGCTTGCCATTTAAAAAGGGCATGTTGCCACAGCAACGGCAACCCCGTCAAGTCTTGCTGGAAGCCACTTCCCATAGGTATGGGTGATATGGGTCTACGATGACTGTAGCTGCAGCTACAATGCTTATTCATTCTTAGTATTCCCCCATATAATTCTTTGACTACCACAATTCATGCCATGTCCAAATGGATAGGATTTGGAGAGCATGACCCACCTGCGAATGGGTACAGAAAATCAATAGCCATAGAACCGTGCAAAACCAACACAAAATCAGATCACCAAATAGATAGGCATACTGTAATACCCATCCCATTCTTTGAAATTATCCACGCCCCCTGTTGTTGTATAACAATGTACCCTCCAAAGGTGGTGCTTGCTGGATGATGTTTTTCGCCCCTTTGGGCCCCCCACTTTTTGGCTCTGCTGGAAACCTTTCCTGGATCAGCGTTCAACATGCGGCCATACCTCATGCGCACACATGACGCGCTGTGGCGCAAGGGATGGCCAGATGTTCGGAGGTGTATACGTATAGAATTCGTATAGATATATAATGATACATATATATATATATTTTAATATAGTAGTTGCATGTAGTTGCTATAGTAGTGGTCCCGTACAAAAGATAATGTATGAGTAATGAGTAAGCAACAGCAACCAGCATGGAAGCTGCAAATGTGGTTTAAATAAATCAAGATGGGGATATCTTTACCAATTTTGGCAGAGATTTTGATGTTCCATAATCAGTGGGAGTGACTCGAAGTTACTTAGGATTGCCCCCCTATGAATCACTGATATCTACGCTGGAGGTCTGGCTCTTGAAAGGCCCTTTGGTCCATCGCTCCAGTCAATCTCAGGTCTTCAGCCAAATTCCTGGTGCCCAGACTCTTCACAGTGCTCTTTGTCTTCTGGCCAGGCATATCCTGGCAACGGCATTGCTGAAAATGACGAAGCTTAAACCTTCGTAGTTGCTCCTTCACAGACCCATGCGCCATCAACGATGTCTATCTACTAACTACAGTAAGAATAAATTGAATACGCAACAAGAAATCATAAGAAATCCAGCTTTTTCGCTAGAGTCCCTCACTGACAGTGTGACCTTTGAGGAACGCAAAAGTTTGCTTGCAGTGGGGTGCAGCTAAAACCAACTTCAACCAACAATCCTGTAATATCCTGTAATCGTCCCCTGAAAGACCCACCCAACACCGGACCTTCGCGCAAGGAATAGTCAATGCCGATCTGCAAAGCCTAGATCGATCCCGGACTGGTGGAATAGACTGGTGTAGAATCAATAAATCTTCGCCAACAATAAAACACTGGGGTACATATTTCATTCGTGTCATAATCAATGTATATTTCATGTGGATAAATGTATTTGCACTATATGCTCAAATCGCAATATGCATGGACAATGATATGTTCGTGCAAAATTTGCTACACGCCAATGCACGAGATGTTCGTGCAAATCAAAGGAAAATAAGTAGACTGTATACTGTCTTCCTTGAATTCCGTTGATATTCTTAGGGCACATGTTGGTGGATTTTGATCAACGAAGAAACAACATTTTTGACGACATGTTTTAACTCCCATTTGGACCCCCAGAATCAGAGAAGTATAGAAATATCATGAAATATCATGAGATATCATGAAATATGTATGAAATTGTGTATTATCCTCAGCTACAATGCTACAAGTCTCAAAATTCACCCCAGTTTGGTTTCCCCAAGGTCCATTTTGTGCCCGGCAGGGCCAGCACCTCCTCCAGGTCTTGTTCCTTGGTTGGGATGATTCCCATGGATCCCACACCTCGGTGAGAAAAGAAATGCTGACTGGTGACACACCTTTGCCAATTTGGTGCGGCTTTACGCGGATTTATATTCTGTTTATATTATGTTTATATATTATGTTTATGTATTATGTTTATACTTCATGATTCATTTATGTTTACAATTGTTTACATATGGTTCATGTCTTTTCATTGACCTCCATAGGCCTTTTTTTTGCTGCAATTCTACATCCCTTTAAGCCAGTTGGAACACTGCAAGATACCAAGGTCCATGACCGACCGGAATGTGATCGAAGAGCGACTGTGCAAGCGTCTCCTGTAGGCAGTCGTGAAACAATCAGGTATTGCCAGCTGTGCCTGCTATTACCATGCTATTACCCATAGAACCTAACAAAAATCTATAAACATCCTCATAGGAAAACACATTCCAAGATTCCATGCTAAAGGGATTTCAGTTTCCAGGGCTCCAGGGGCCTGATGGTCGATTTGAGGACTCAGGAACCCATCCTCCTTCCAGCCTCTCTCAGCTGTAATGACTCATGACTTGGGTTCATCAAATGATTGGGGACAAATGGACTCACGAGAATGATAATTCTTAGTATGAACTTGAGGTTTAGGATGATCAATTTCGAGTAAATAGCTTGATCAACATGTACCTCCAATTTTTAAGGTAAATCACTTTTAGCCACAGCCAAATCATGCCGCTCTTAACTCGGCTCCTTCACGGGCAGCACATCCGAGAAGAGGAGATTGGTGCGAACCAATCGCACTCCACCTGCAACCACGCGACCATAGATTCTGGTCATTTAAATGGTACTGTAAATTAACTATCCCGCTGGTGATATTCACCTGGAATGCTGCTCTGAGTTGAATCACTTTTCTGATCTTTGCAGCGCTAGAAATGGATCTGTTTCCATCCTCAGCTTCTATCCTTTGGCGACAATCAGATGTGGAGACAGATCAGAAAGGTCATAAAACCCATTGGATATCATTGGATCACATGTTTACTAAACATTTAAGGCCTGGACCAAAAAAATGCCCAGACTATCCCAGACTCTCCGAGGCTCCGCGCAGTTAATGTCAAAGCCGACCCCACCAGGGGAGACCACCGCCTCTGGCAAACCTCAGCAGGTTGGATCATTCCCACAGTGATGTTCCATATTGGGATAGTTTGGAAAAATATGGCCATTCACTGAAGATTCTAGTTTCTACTTTTCTTGGAAACCAGCTTGAACATTTTTTTTTGGCACCCACAAATTTTCATAACATAGATATAGGATGATATAGTAAAAATCAATAATTAAGATATTTGGACAAGCTGCCAACAGAATTTCTTGGCAACCTCACTGAAGCCGCACCACACTCAGGGCCGAACCCATATCGAAGGCCGCAACGTTGCCGATAGCGAAACCATATCCACTGTGAATATCCTGTGGTAGTTGCAGGTGCTGTCTCTGCGACTAGAATTGGGAGGATTGCCACAAGGAAGACATGTTCATCTATGGAGCTCTATGAAAGATTAAGAACAACTGAGAAAATCCAATCTGCTTTCTTTGAAGCTAAAAACTTCCTCATGTCATTTCCCAGGGAGCTTGGATCAACTTTCTCCGCGAGATAAGTATGGCTCTTTTTTGGGGAGCCCGACCCACACCAAACCATATGATTTCCAAATCAAGTAGACTAAGTATGATTAAGTAGATTGTGGGGTAGATAGTATATTTTTTTTATATAACTCTTTTTGGGTTGTTTGTGTTGGTCCTCCAGTTTTAAATAACTCCTCCCCACAGCTTGACAAATTTCCACCGAGCCAATGGACTGGAAGGCCGATGGAGTGCTTCACAATGCCGGGCCTTGGGCGTGTGAAACACCACCGAAACTCCAGGGTGACTCCGAGTCTCCACACTCTTAATGGCTCAGATCCAAGTTGACTATGTTTACACATGTTTACACTTACTATGATCATAGTCAACTCAAAGCTTCACGCGTATGTGCAAGAGTCTGCTAATGTCTATTCTGAGTAGCTTCTACACAAGTGACAGTTGAACGGTGTGAAAGGTTCCGTTCCAAATCTACGGCCCTTCCGAGTCGCCACTCTTTTCGAAGCATGGAAGTTCTCAAAGATTCGACTGGATTGAAGTGAGGTGCAAGTGAACAACATTTCATCATATTTCATCTAGCCACAGGACATGATCCAATGATCCACCACTTTTCTGTCGTCTTGTTGCAGTGGCCCAGGCAGTGCGGCCACATTGCCGATCTGCTTCACCGCTGGGAGGAAGCCACCGGCATTGTGGGACTGCCTGCCCAAAGTTGTTGGGATACGGGATGGTTTCTGTCATGTTGAGCTTCGGTACGGGTACAGTCCAGTTTCCAAGCTTTCTGGAGGTAGATTCTGTACACGAACAGGTGAAACGACTGACTTCATGGTGCCCACCTTAGGAAAACCATTGAATATCATGGATTGGTATCAGTGGTGCATGCTGTCAATATGAATCAACACCCTTCGTGGTATCTGATGAGCGTGCAGTTATACAGTATATAGTATGTATATAGTAGTTGTAACCGTACGTAGCCCAACGTTAGGTAATCCCTCATTGACTTGCCAGTTCTGCTTGCCAAAATTGGCCCACTTAGAGTTGTCATGTATCCCAGAGTCAGAGGATGCATGGTTTTACCATCAACAGAAGCAGGGTCCAAACACACTTGCACCACCTGGAGAAACTTCGGAGTTCATCCAACATCAAACGTTCCAGCCTGGTGTTCACAGACTGCTCAGGGGGTTGGGGATCATCATTTCATCAGTCAGTTGCTGACAATATAAACACCATACAAAAGGGACCAAGTGTTGTCATGATTTTGCGTGAAGCACCATAACAAAAGTATACAATAGTAATATCTTATGTCCATTTCTTTCGACAAAATCTGGACTGAACTCCCTTGGGTCTAGACTTAGGTGAATTGATCCCCGACTTCCTGCTGGTTAAGTGATGACCGAGCCAATCTCCCAAATTTATGGATCTGCTTTTGAAGGATCAACAAAAGCTATATTTATTTACAGTATATATTTGATAATAACAAGAACACCTGGTTTACTGCAGACTTTCCTTCAAATCAATCCATTGATTTCAGGATCTACAATACTTGAAACATAGAACCTCACTTCTGAGAGCCGAACTGATCGTTGACGTAGAACTTGCCGGGGACGTTCCTGGCCGTGTCAGTGTCACCTTCTGTCAGGATATCCGAGGGTAGAGGAAAACATAAGAAGTGTTCCTAAGTGGATACACATTGCATGTAGAATGTAAAAACAAAGGGCCAATGATAGCCATTGTTTTACAACATACTTTCTACTTATTCAGTTGCCATCATTCACCTGCAGGTTTACCTGTACATCAATTGGCCAAGGTTGGGCGAGATGCACCGGATTCATTCACTCCATAGATCCGCATCTGTGGGAATGGCAGCTGTAGCCAACCACTGTTTGTGGGAATTCCATAAAAACACATTCAAACAATGTATGTATAATATATATATATATTATAGTATATTAATAAATTAGCCTTGAGTACTCTAACCGTGGGGACGGACATTACCATTTCTCATCCTGGATCAGCGGAACAAAGCCAGGCGGACATTCCTTGCACAAAGCCTGGCCGGATGGAGTAGGAGGTGGTATCCTCGCGCTTGAGGTAACCCATCCTCAGCCGCGAGGTTCAATGGGGCCATAGAATGCCATGGAAGTACCTGTCAGGTGTTGTTTATTTATTTTTAATAAGTTGCTACACTCTTTTTCAAGATTAAATTCCACTTTCAGCGAATAAGAAATGTGTGACCAAAAATGGAGCTCAATGACCTAAGTAGAAAGCTTTCTTGACATGTAGGCTACAGATTGCATGGTGGGTACCAATATGTACCAATACTGTGGCTGAACACATCCCTCTACTTGTTCAAGACTTGGACATTGAGCAGTCACCCCCGCCATCAGCATTCCTGTTTCAAGCGTTAAGGCAAACAGCTTCAACACTTGGTTAAACAGTTTAAGTTAAACATATAGTTAGACATGGTACTTATCAATTCATGTTCTTAAACAGTTGTCTGCCATTGTATCCATTCAGATCTGTTATGCATAACATATTTCCATATATTTCAGGGAAATAAAACATGGGGTCGCTATCCGAGAATCTCATCATTGAAGCTGCGCTTGATCTCCGACATCCCGATAACGGCGCTAAAAAAAACACGGCCGGGGTGGGATCTGTGGCTCCAAGGGCTCAAGGCAGAACGCGATCCAATTGGATCCTTGGGACAGCTTGGTTTGATGTCATGGATCAATGATTTATGGGAACATTTTGGTGAATCATTGCAAACATGCAGTGCCTTTTTGTTTTCCCTTCTGCCGGAGGATTTCCTTCTAACTTTATAAATCACACGTCAAGACAATTGACAATATCATCAGATTCGAAGCCGATGAAATAAAGTGTCTTTTTTACTTGATCCTGCCTGAAACAACCTTGCTGAAACTTGTTCCACTGGCGGTGTATGGACCGTGGTGAATATGTTGCTGCCCTGCTCCTTCTGAGCCAATGGCCGCGAAATGACTGTGCCCTCTTCTGTGCAGAACAAGTTTCAAATAAGACATCCCCAAGGTACATAGGCAGCATATAACACACAAGCCACTTTCAACTGTCACTGAGTGGACCGATTGCCGCTCTGTGGAACAACTTCTCTGGAGTTTTTTTCCTCCACAATTTTCTGAAGAGTTGTTTGCCTCCTAAACCTATTTTGGAATTGGTCGTGGGAGTGCATTGAAATCCACTTGGGACGGTTATGACAGGTGGTAAACCCTGCTGGACAAGGTGACCAATTCCAAGACTATGTACATGGAGTGACACCCCACAAAGCTCGCGATGGGCTCTGTGGTTCTTGGCACTTTCTCAATTCCTTTCAGCAACAATTGCCAATCAATAGCACCGGCGACAAGAATGTGATCACTCTATATAATTTTATGATCACTCCAAATAACCATATGTGTGTATTTAGCAGTATCCAATTGTACAAGTATCTACCAGCCAGGGACTTCACTACTAGCACCAACAAGAACAAGTGTATTTTTTTTCATGTCAGACTCACGGCTTCAAGATCGGAAGATCCCGCTATCCAACTGCGTCAGCCTGGGCGGTGGGCTTGTCCGAACATAGGCTACTCCCATCCCCACAGATTACAATAGTCTTCATCATTCAAGGGACGATCTTATACACTTTTAGGGGATGCCGCGTTTCTTGCCAAACCCAAAAGGAAAACACCAAACATCAAATGAAAAAGCTCGGATATTCTAACTTGCCAGGGAGTCGAGTTGGTACAGACCCAAACAGCATCACAACTACAGAAAACTATGCTCTCAAAGAAGATGTCCAGCCATTCATCATTCCAAGCCCAAGCTTCAGGGACTGCCTTCCAATCTCTACCTGGCCAGTTGAAAGGTGGAAAAACCTGCCTGAAACACAGCCCAAAATGGGGGAATCGCAATGAAATAGCAGCTTTTGAAAGGAAACATGAAGAAACACGATGATGACTCTGATGATGACCTATGATAATTATGAATAAAAAACAATTATATATAATATAATTAAAGGGGTCAAACACTTTGAGTTGAAAGCATGGTGAAAGCACGAAACGCTGTGGAGTATGCGTCCAGTTTGGGCAGCCAAATCCTGCCAACCATTTATTATATAATTTATCAAAAGCAAACAAACACGTATCACAGCGTACCAAAGTCCGAAATCGGTTTACATTCCACCAATTCATTTTGATTCTGAAACATGGCTGTTGCGGAAGTTCCTTTAAGATGAACCGGATGTTAGGTACACATCCTAATCGCCCAGTCATGGGCCAAAAGACCTGGTGCAATGTCAGGGGATGTCCGAAACGTCCGAACCTGCCTCATTTGGTGCTTCCTGTGCAGCAAGGAGGCGACTGCCAGGATAAATATTCTGTGCACAAACTTTGTTTTACCGATATACATTGTACCATCATTGTACCATCATGAGATTCAAATCGAAAAGGTAAAGTAGGAAGTCATTCCGTGTTTGCTTCACTGAGAACTAATTCTGTAGGGTCCAGAATCTTGGAACTAAAGTTTTCTCTTCCCCACTTGCAAGAAGAGTGATGCGGCCCGCGACCATCTTCCATGGCCTGAATACTGGGATGTCGACTGGCGTGTAGATTTGCCTGGCCAAGGAACTGGCCGTACAATGTCTGAAAATGGGGATACCTCAATTCCAATGGATTATTCAACATTGTTCACAATTAAAATATATTAAAATAATATTATAAACCTGATTTTCAGACACACCCAACTTGGTTTCCTGCGAGGAGCAACAACCAACAGTGCAACGCCCGTCGCACCTGTGACACAGGATAGGCACCATGGACTCTCCCATTGGCTGCCTTGGCGAAAACACATCAAACCCTTAAGGTTACAATATGTTACAATCACAACGGTTACATTGTTGCAATGAAGTGTTCCTTGCCTCCATATGGATCCATATGGCGGGGATTCTTCAAAACTGGGAATCCCCAAAATGGATCAAAATGGTTGGTTTAGAATGGAACATCCATCTATAAATGGATGGTAAATGGGGTAAACCCCATGACTTAGGAAACTCAGAATCCAACGGGAAACGCGGCCGGCTGTGGCTCACCTGCATCGACACTGCTGTCCAAGTCTTGAGTTCCGAAAACATACCCATGAGATGCTTCAACTGAGGATGGTAACAGCTTCAACATTTTCAAACATGTCATGAGGTGCCAGGGATATTCCTGAAACATCCTGAAACGATCCCATACAGCTTTGAAACTGAGGGCAGGGATTGGGATGGAACTCTTTCAAACACAATCAAGCAGTAAAATCATTCTCACCCCAAAAAATAGCCAAACATCACCGGAAATCTTAAAAACAAGAACGAAATCTGAGATTCTCAAAACCAATCATCAATGAACAACTCCCCAGCAAGCATCATTTCTCAAAAAAAAAAACCACCGGCGCCTCGCTGAAGCCGTTGGTTTTCTGCCTGCAACTCGCGGATCAGTTTCTGGGCACTTGCCAGGCCTAAAAACGCACCGAGTGCGACAGGTGGTTGGGGTGGTGCGATTGCTCATCTAAATAGACATAGAACGAGTATATGAACATAGCAACCCCCTGAACAAGATAGAGAAGTAAAATTCGATTCAACTAGCGGCAAATTATGTGTATATATACTTTTCGATCTTTTTGGAGGTTGTGCACATAAGGGGAAATTAATGGGGATATATTACCAACAATGTGATAGTTGGGTTATTTCTGCAATTTTTAGGGGATTATAATGTGACATTATAGGAACTTCTGCGATGTATGAAATGAAGTTTGTCCTAGTCCTAGTCTGAAACTGGTACAGTATACCCCAATTTATGGCCATTTGATGCCATTTGAATGGGGGAGTTCATGATAGCGCAAGTAATTTTGGGGTACCCTATTTTTGTTCTTAAGATTATTCTAGATTGGATATGATATATATCCTATTCCAACAAAAATTACACTACGGAATGGGTGCATGTGGTATAACATGGCATACGGTATAAATGTATAACCCATTTCCAAACAAATCCAATGGGAGATTGCGAAAAGGTGGAGTCTGAGAATGCTGCTTTGGGCATATTCGTTGCTTTGCTCCTTCTGCAACTTCAAATCCTTCATGGTGTCCTGCAGGATAGAGCTTGGGATTTGGTGACACACAAAATCCGTGAGCCCCAACCTTTGTAACATGTTGTAACCATGCAGAGATGTGATGGGACTACAAAAACGTTCGACAAATTCATACAAATTCTCATTGAAACTTGCAAAATGTTGCAAACAAACACATACTATGGGAAAAACACATACATCGTTCAAAACAGTGAGCAATTTCTTCCTTCCCGCCAGGTTGTACATAGAGGGTTTGCCGGCTTGACCTTGCCTGATACTTGCCTTGAAAGTATTTCAGCGAGACGTCCACGTTCTCAATCTGGTCCTGGCCCAAATCAACCACCAGCTGCAGCGGGGGGTTGTCGGTGGTTGATCCAAAGTTTGAATGTTCACTAAGCCAGGCACACTGTATATCGAATCTCTATGTATTTAGGTTGCTACTTAGACTCAGACTTCTACTGATTGCTTGTTGTATAGCATCCTTGAACTTCAAATGACATGCAAGGAACAGAGTGGACGTGGTTGTAATATGTTGTAATATGTACATAATTATGTTGGGCTCGCCAGCCCTGTCACTTGTTGGACACCATCGAGCACTTTTGGCCAACTCGCCTTGAGTTCTCGCTTCTCCAAGTCCATCCTTTTTAATTCGGCCTTTTGCTTCTCGTACTCGTGCCTGCAAGCATCTCAACATCATTTCACGGTGTTGAAAAGAAAATACAAACATGAACTGAAAGAAATGACATATATAGGATAGTGCTATAATTTAATTGAAACAGGTTTCCCAAAAGGATCATGAAGTCTGTAAAGAGGGGCAAGGATGATTGAAGCCATCTGGGCCCCGGACGCCAAATCCAGGTTGCCTTGAAACATTGAGGATCAAGATCATGGTCGCATGCTCGGGTTCATCGGTGAAAAATAATCAACACCAATTTCACCAACAAATCAATTAAGGCAAGTTGTGAACATCCTTGCTTTGCCTTCCCAAATCTTCCCAACCTCCCACCGAATCGGTACCCAGCCACATGGAGAAACAATTCATCAGTTGCTTCAACACAACTTGCAGAAGCCTGTCCCATGGTGTCTATTTAAACATGAGGCCAAAGTTGAACCATGTTGAACCTCTAAGAATATTTGAAACTGATGGAAAAAGGAATGGAATTCTGTGAGATTGTGAGTTTGTTGCTCTAGCCAATTTTTTTGAAGACAGGCTTCACGACCCACGAGCCGAGAGCCGAATAGGTTTTGGTCTCCAAGCCAAAGACACCCCGCAAGCCAGTGACATCACCAATTCTCCATTTGCTTTGGTATATGTCGTGTTGATCAATACAATCAATCTCCGTTTTTTCTCCGTGAAATCATGTGAAATCCTTAGTCTGAAGGTATCCCGCCAGGTCACGTCGGTGAAGCTCCTGCAAGTCTCCGCCACGAGCGCATGCCTCAGGCTGGGGTTGATCAACATTTGTTTTCATTATTATAAATTTAAAAAGATAGAAAGTAATTCCTCAAAAAATCAGTAGATAATGTTACTTTTCTGTCTCTTTTGGATGGTGCTGTAAACGAATCTTTGGATCCATCATTTTCAGATATGTTCAGCAGATTCTGGCATCACCCCTGGACTTTTCCAGCCTTTTCGGACCTGATGATGGCATGGTATTTGGAACAGCTGCCACACGAGGATCATTTGCCAAGAGTGGGTACGTGATGGTAGATGATGGCACGTGAGCACAGGAGATTTCAGCCCATCCCCACAAATATGTCAGTGGGGATCATTTATTCCAGCTATGGGTGAAAACGACATAAAACGACCAACATTTAAATCACCAACCAGTAGGTCTCCTAAGTCCCTGGCAGCATTTGACATGTGCCCAACAGCCTCACATGCCGGCGACTTTGACATGGAGGCTTGGGGTATGCGAAGTTATACTGGGGATAGACAAGCCATCCCGCATCGGAAACTATTGGTAACTATGAAACACTATAAATGATGGGATTATAAGAAGATATACACCATCTACACACTGGTGCAGGATTTCTTGTATCCACCGTATGATTGGCATTTTTGTTGGACATTCATGAATTCCATGGATATGTTCATTCAATTCCTTGCCATGACATCCTGTTATCCTGCATATACAGGAAGTCTGTCGAACGAGACATGCTTCAGTGCATGACTTGCAAATCTCATGAGCTCTGGACAGATTGCATCTTTCGATTGGCGAGATTCGCCTCGCATATTGGCGATCAGCTGCTGCACATGTTCATCACAACCCAACTTCAGTGCCAAAGAAACCGGGCGTCTCCTATGTTTCCAATCATGTCCTCTGGAACAAAACAAGGATGACAGTATGCTGCGCTCGAGCTTTTTACAGTCAACCAATTTCAATCTATCAACAAAAGCAAAAGCCAATAATGAACATCATTGCAGTGCCCACCAGCTGCACGTCACTTGTGATCCCCTTCCCTTCAGCCTGTTCCACTTGAGCCTGCAAGTCTTCACATCTGGACCTCCACCTGTTGGGCAGAAACCGGGAAAAGGCCATAGAACCCGAGCCTCATCGTAGACACCCAGGTCCATCAATTTCCAAAATCATCTCTAAGATCCTCTAAAGGTACACACTCTGTGTCTCAATCACACCAAAAGACATCAAAAAAAAACAGCAGAAGAAAACTACCAGCTTCCGCCTCTGAAGTTCTTCCTTGGGAGCATGCATAGCCAGAACCTGGCAGCTGGCAGGCGATCTGCGGACGTCAACTGGGCAGTGCTGTGGAATGACTCCTCAAGTGGGGCCCGTTGATACCATTTCAATGGGGCTATGGGGAACCAGAACTCGGCCAGGGGCCATGCAATAACCCGCTTACATCCGCTTACTGCATTCGCGCTATCCCCCACGCTGCCAGTCGTTAGCCTCTTTGAGCTTGGCAATCTCACTGTCTTTACTTTGAAGCTCCTGTTTCAACCTGTGCCATGGCAGTGCCGTCAGTTGCGGTGTAGTGGCCCTTGGACATTCCAAGGCCACCAATAAGGCCAATTCATTTCAATCTGGTGAGGTTGTTTGGTATGGCTGCTGAGCAGCCTATGTACAGGCTTTGAACATGGCACATTGTCACACTGTCGCTTGGGGGAAACGGAAATCGTGAAAAACCTTGTGATGAAAGAAAATATGTCTATGTTCACTTCAAGAGCTGCTTCAAATATTGATATTACATGATGATACATAACATAAATATTCATAAATTATAATTATATACACTATTCTTTTGGAATGCTGCTGCGACCCATTAATTAACACCCAGGTCGGTATTTGCCTTTCTTGCTCTGCTCTCCAACTGCTCTGGCTTTCCTGTACCGGAAGCGAACACCAAACCAATTGGAATAAAATCAAATAGGTCATGCAAAGCTGTTCTTGACTGTTGACCATAGATCAGATAGATATCAGATACTCACATGATTTGCCCATGCATCTTGATTGACTACTATTATGCCATGAGATCAGTAGTTAGGCGCTCATCAAATAATCACATGCGAACTTTGGTGGACACATCAAGACAGTTTTGTTCAGCTTCACCAGTGAAATCTATTGATATTCAGCTCACACTGCCATGGACGCTGGGTGGGCAGCAATCCTTGAGATTGGATCATTCTCAATCACTGACCTCAACTCTGGTGAATTTTAAATATACCCCAATGGCAAAGCATGGAGATGGACAGAAAGAAATGACATGTCCTGAGTTCTGTGAATATTCCCAGTGGCTGTTATCCATCGCAAATGCCCCGTGTCTTGCAAAAGTCCTGCAGCACCACACCGGTGTCTTCCAGTTTGTGTCGAGTCTTCTCTTCCTTTTTGTGAAGCTCCTCCAACCGCTCCTGAAGCGCGACTACGCGAGCTCTCCCCATTTCTGCTGACCCACCAGGCACCCCGCGGCTTCGGCGCCTTGCCCGAACTGGCGGCTTTCAAGGCTTCTCGAGCTTCAGACTCCCAGTGGTTGGCTCGACCTGCCGGAGTTGAAGCTGGGTGTGGCTAGTCTTTGATTGTCCCACTTTCCCAAGGATTTTGAGAATTTTTGAGATGTGCCATGGTCAAAACATAGCATATTCATGTATATTCATGTATATTCATGTATATTCATGTATATTCATGTATATTCATGTATATTCATGTATATTCATGTATATTCATGTATATTCATAATGTATATTGGGTATGGTCTTCCATCGCAGTACCTGGAATTTGCCCTAGCTTGACGATGGCGCAAAGGTGTTTGGATCTTGAGGTTTCAGTGAACTGCTTGGGCACAAGCTGCTGCTTCATGCCTTTTTCCAGACTTCTGGTTGAGCATTAAACCCTTCCATCCAAAGCCACCGTGTTCATCAAATAGTCACTGAAACAACAGAATTTCCATACCCCTTACCCAGACATACATCTAAGCCTCATTGATGGCCATCAAATAATCTGGTCATCTGATGACTTGATCAACCATCAAATTCCCATTACATTTAATCGCCATCTGCTCAAGCCAAGTCAATATTCAATAATCTTTGCCCCCAACAAAATGGTGAAACACCTGGAAATCATTCATATATCATATACAGTATTAGGTATCTATAGTCCTCATTGAATTGTCAACAATTACTCAATAACACACATTAACTATTAACATACCCAAAAAAACATCTAAACATCATCCAAACATTATGTAACCGTCAGCCTGTGAAATCACCCATGGTTAGCACCATCTCCGGTGGATGCCTTCCACCTCCTCCAAGCGTGCGCTCTTCTGGCGTAGCTCGTCGCTCTGCTGCTGCGACAGCTCCCTCAACTCCTGGTGAAATTTTGGGGCGGGACGCAGCGCGGAATCCCTGATTTTCATGGGGGTTTAAGCAACAACCATGGTGATTTTATAGGGATTCCATGGCAAAATAGTGCTGATATCATGGGGAAAAACATGATGTATGGGATGTAACCAGCCATGTTTTGGGATTTCATGGGATAATGGAAAAAAATGGAAGTTGAACCAACAACAATTGGCATTTTTATTGGGGATGTAATTGGAATAATTCGATAATTGATCAACTCCCCCTATACAGGGAGTTTATAGCTGGGAAAATAATCTATACATGTTTTTTTTCCAGCAAGCCATGTTTGATTGGAGGGTACGCCTGGTAGGGGAACACTATAGAGAATTCTGGTATAATAACTCCCAACAGCAATGGCTGTTGGGTTTCAATCTCTTGGTCTGGGAACGGTGCATCACACTTTTCGCCCAGCCCAAAAACCGGAACTGAACCCCAACACTGGAAACCCTGGAACCTTGGAACCTGCTGTTGGGTTGCAAAGCTGGGTTAATGGATGTTAATGGATATATAGTGGTGTAATGTGGTGTATATAATGGTTATAAATATAATGATGATGTGTGTGTTTTATTATGTTTTATTTATCTCAAGCACCTGTGACACTGTGACCGTCCAAACTCACTCTGATGGTGTGGTGCACCCATCTTAGCTGCTCCTGAATTTGCCTTTGGAGGACCTTCGTCTCGTCCCGATGCCCGAAACCAACATCGTCCAGATCTGATTTCAGATCACTCACCTGGCTATTTCTCGACAAGGTTCTTATACAAAATAAGTGAAAAAAACAAGAAAATGACGCTCCTGCAGAGAAGTACTTTTGTATGCTTGACAAAGCTGGCAAAGCTGGACTTTCTTCGCATTCTTATTTCTGTTTGTGGTTTGCCAGCTCTAACAGAAAACACTTCGTTCCGCCCACTGTTGATAGATATTTCACCGCATTGCCACCTCATGGAATATCGGGACCCTAACCATCCCAACTGAGTCATTTGTTGATGGAGAATTCATGGTTTTGGATCAGTTAGGAAACCCTCGATATCATATTACCCCAAACATGCTATGTCCATCTAGGTCCGCTACAAACAAGTTCGGCCATCTCCACAACCAAAGGCTCCATACCTGGGCCAGCAGAGCCTTTGCTTCCTGCTTTTGAGCTTCGGCCTCCTCCTAGGAGTGCGAGAATGGAGAGAACTAGCTATGAGTCATGCCAAATGGTGCCCAAACGGTGCCCTATCATAGATGGTTAATGGATGTTTATTCCCCAGAATATGGTAATTTCATTGGTTTTAACCAGTTCCCATATGTATCAAGTAACAGTTGAGATTTCAACCTCCTATTGGACATTTAATCAGCAGTATGATGATTCCACCAGCAACATTATAGCAAATGTTCAAGCTTTGACATGATTGGAGATCAATTTAACCAACCAACAATATAGGATGTCAATGGATTGAATAACCAATTTCAACACATTCTGACCATGAAAAAAAAGGCGATTTTAGTAGATTACCATCAAAAAACATGGATTTTAGTGGATCATCTCCACCCAAAACCTCCAAAAAATGCTGGGATTTGCTCCCAGTGCCGTCCTTGGAACTCGCCAGGTCCGTCTTCAGTGTGCCGTTCTCGCGCTGGAGACGTCGAAGCTCCTCCTCCAGCAGCTGTTGCCGTTCCTGGGAGGCCTGGCGTTGGTCAAAAATGACGGGAGAAACAGGGGGAAAAGCGCTACCAATGGATTGGTTTAAGGGAAAATCATGGGATTTTCCATGGATTTTCCCATGACATACGGGGGTGTCCTCTCGATTATCCCTAACAACAATCCATTGACCCCAAAATCCAAACTGTTGAGAACATCTTTTCTTGGGAAAAAAACTCCCCGTGGTTGAGAATCTCATGTTGTTTGGGAAAAAAAACGCATCTCAGCTCCTGGGAATATTATTTTCTCGGTGGAAAGAAAAAAGACATCTGTGGCCCAGTGGTTGAAAGAAAGTCATTGGGGATGAAATTAGGGTATCGTGCATCAATATCAAGGCACAAAATATATGGGTATCCAATTTTTTGACAAACCACACTAGTGGGCATGTGAAGGAAACATGGGGTGAAAGCCACAAAACCACAAATTAATGAGGATTTTTGCCAACTGACATCTTGTTTTTTCCAAAGTTGGAAAGAGGGGAAGAGGGGGTAGCATTCGACCCCCAAGCTTTGGTCAGGAAATGTCCACATAAAAGGATTGGTGTAATCCACCGTTTTTTGTTCAAATATATGTTTAAGGACTAACAGTGACTAGCATGTGCTTTTGCAGTATGCCATAATATGCCGTATACCTCCGATTTGAACCCCAACATCTGCCGTTTTGTGACCTCCAGGTCCGGCATTGGCGGAACCTCCTCCTCCTTGCCGATCAAGGCCTGGTGCGTCACAAACTGGACTTTGAAGCAACTACCATGCGGAATTGACTCACAAAGGTATGGAATACTGGGATCTATTGGTGTATACACAACGTCCATTGAGATATACTTGGTCAAGTCTGCTGGGACTCGAAATCATTAGCATTTCTCCAAATAGTCCCTGGTCTCTCTGCTACAGCCGTGCACACTTGAGAAAGTCCCATCACTTCTAGCATGACAGGACAAACATGGACAACCTACAAACCCGCAAACCCATCCCATCGCTTCCAGCGGATTTTTCCACTAGAAGCATGGCCTCAGCGAACTCTTGCTGCAGCTGCTTCATGATAATCCTTTGATTCACAATGGTGGCTCTGGTGGGCACCTCCTGACTAGCAATCTGCGGTGGCTTGTGGCGGGTTGGTCAAGCTAGACAACATACTCTTGGAGTTCGCATGGGTCCCTAAGGTTCCCCCTAAAGAATTTGTTCTCGATCAACCCGGTAGAGCCTCCGAATCCGATGGGATCAAAAAACCTCAACTGCTTGAGCTAGGGTGTTGAGGTTGGATTTCCCGTAATTTAAAACAATTTTACAGAACCCCTCCCACAGAAAAGCACATAGACATAGCCCCCTTGCTGTCTTGCAGTCATTTCACCACATTTCTGAACGAAGCCTATTAGATCTATTAGCTTTCAAGTCTTGTAAAATGGAGGTAAATAGACAGGGGCGAACAACAGAACACATGTAGAGTATCTGTTGATCCATCAATTTTACTTCTGATTCCACAAGTTTCCATCTTCTTTAGCCACTTAATAAAAGGATATAAAAGGTTAATTGATCACTCAAAATCCCATCATTTATCAAAAGTAACTGCCCTCAACCCCCCCATTCCTCGCAGCTCCTGGGGTCCCTCCGCATGCCCCGCGGGCGCCGCGGACGGGTCGCCGATGCTCCGCAGGGAGCTGCTGAGGGGATGAGAAGGGTCCAAGACTGGAGCGCCTGCAGATCAGTGATAAGTCATGTATCATCATGGGATCCATGGGAATATATAACTGGAACCTGAGAAGGCGTGGAACGAAAGCCAGCGCTTGCTTTTTGACTCGCGCGGGGGCGCGTGAAACTCCACCTCATCCATATGGCATGGCTCAAACATGAAGCGCCCCAACATCAACAATTGCTATCGGGTCATAATTTTCCAATCATTAAATGGACATTTTTAGGGTAAACTCCACGATTTTGTAACTTCTATATCCAAATATGTTTCCTACAATGTACTGCGGCATTGTGAAAAGTTCTATCTCAAGTTCCGTAAATCCGCCTTTGGTTGCTCATTTATCTTAAAACAGCGCAAGTTTGCTCCCACCTATTGTAGATAAATAATACCCGCTTTTTTGTGTGAACAGTGGTCATGTGACCTCTCACAGTCTAAATTGTTTTCTCCCCAGAATCGTGGTCCATGCTTCTCCGCGAAGTTCCGCAACATTTTGGCCGTACGGTGAGAAATCAAAACATAGCTCTACTCGCAAAATGGGCAGCGCAAACCCAAGACAATATTATAACATACGTAAGAAAGGGTATAAGAACGAATGAAAATCGAGGAAAACAATGCAAAACCCACGGGAAATATAGAACAGTGGCGAACATGCAGTCCAAATCAAAAGTATATATATTTAGGCCATTTACAGACCTGGGTACCCCCCCCACCCCCCAAAGGTTCTGGAAAATAGGTATTTTACAGGAAATGTCGCGGAATAGCATCATCCCTGACATCGATAGAGATAATTGTTTGGCATCCCGGAAAATCTTCTCAGCTATCACACTCGCCAAACATCCCTTTTAAAAGGCACACATACTATCACGGACGTACAGATGCATATCATTCCCGTCATTGCCATTAGAAGATTCAAATTCTTTCTCAATGTTTTAGTACAAGATTCACTTTTAGTTCTGTTTCAGCCTTCTCAGTACGGCCTCTTACAATGATATTACAGCATTTGTCTCCTAACCTAGGTGGCTCCTGGGCGCAATCTTCACTCAGTTCTAAACCGGAAAGACTATTCCTTCCGTTTACCAGTAGATCGTTTTTGTAGTTCTTATCACAAAACTACCAGAATCAGGGAGGCACCAAAAAACGCCAAACAGCTTTAAGCATTATAAATACTCTAATCTGCAGATTGTATTTATTTTTCTTACTCTGTGAACGAAATCACGCTTTTCTAACTTCACACAGATTACCATGAAACCAATTTTCCCATGCAACTCCTAAAATCTTACAACTCATACATCTTTTTTCCTATACCATCCGCATCTTGCTCCAAGGTTTCATGGCAATGTCTTGTACGCGAGTCAGCCACTATTTCCTATCACCAAACTACATTGCTCATCATCTAACATTATCTACAGAAACCAAATCGGATTTCCTGCTCAACGTTTCCGCTCGTTAACATTGTCTTGGTTTTCACTATATGTTTAAAGCATTTTTAGTTATAACATGTTCCTAGGTTTTCACTGTATTTTTCTAACATGTTACATGCCTCCTAGCATGTTCACGCGTGTCCTCCATGTTGTACTGTTTTCTACATCGTTTCCGCTAGTTGTTACAAGCATTTCCTAGCTTGTACACCGTTTTCCTAATATTGTCACAACTTTTCTTCCAGTTTCCACTGCTTTTTCTACCGTTTCCTGTGGTTACTTTCTTCTCTTTTGTAGATTTTCACTGTGTTTTGTCCAGCTTTTTTTATTACATGCTTCCTACCATTTTCACCGCTTTCCTCTATGGTTTTTTGTACCATTTCCTCTCGTTTCCTGCATTCCATGCATTTTCAATAATTTTTTTCCAAGAGTTCGTCTCCTTCAGTTTCCGATCGTTTTTGCAACATTTCCTCTGGTTGTTATCGCATTTTCCTGCACTTTCACTGTATTTTTCCAGCATGTTTACTGCATCGTCATTGTTTGTTCCTAGCAGTCGCTCCGGTTTCCTCCATGTTCCAACAGATTTTGCACCCTTTATTCTGGTTGTTATCACATTTTCCTGCCAGGTTGTTATCACATTTTCCTTCACTGTATCTTTCCAGCATTTTCCAGTGGATTTTGCACGATTTCCTCTGATTGTTATCATGTTTTCCTGCAGTTTCTATATCCCCTTCGTGGGTTTTCGGTCTATTCGTGCATTTTTAATCCATGTTTCCAAGATTTTTACCCGTCTCCTTTTTGCACCATTTCCTCTGGTTTGCTGCATTTTCAATGTATTTGTCCAAGAGTTTTACCCGTCTCCTTGATTTTTCCGATTGTTTTTGCACCATTTCCTCTGGTTGTTATCGCATTTTCCTGCACTTTCACTGTCTTTTTTCCAACATGTTTACTGCATCGTCATAGTTTGTTCCTAGCAGTCACTCCGGTTTCCTCCATGTTCCAACGGATTTTGCATGGTTTGTTCCTAGCATTTTCCTCTGATCGTTATCATGTTTTCCTCAAGTTTCATTGTATTTTCCAATACATCCTCTTCGTGGGTTTTCAATATGTTTTGTCCAGCATTTTTTTACTACATGTTTCCTATCATTTTCACCTCTTTCCTCCATAGGTGTTTGCACCATTTCCTCTGGTTTCCTGCATTTTCATACCTTTTCAATATTAATATTAATCCAAGAGTTTTACCTGACTCCTTCATTTTCCGATCCTTTTTGCACCCTCTCCTCTCGTTGTTATCACATTGTCCTGCACTTTCACTGTATTTTTCCAGCATGATTACTGCATCGTCATGGTTTGCGCCTAGCATTCGCTCCGGTTTCCTCCATTTTCCAAGGGATTTTCCATGGTTTGTTCCTAGCATTCGCTCCGTTTTCGTCCGTTTTCCAGGGGATTTTGTACGATTTCCTCTAATCGTTATCATGTTTTCCTGCAGTTTCATTGTATTTTCCAATACATCCTCATGGTCTCTCCGGCCACCAAAAAGGCGGACCTAGGGGGAATCGATACCCCACCGTCAGCAAATTACCTAGTGGTACATAATCCAGCAAAATGCTCCGTTTTCTGGCGCTCAACACAGGGGCACGGCGAGATTTCGTTCCCTTTCGGCAACCAACCCCCCCCACACCCCCTATTCTCACTTCGTTCGCAGCAACTGGCCAGCTAGCTGGCTTTCGTAATATTTCTCATGGGTAATCTTGAGATCAGTGGATATTGGTTCAAAATTTCTCAGTGATCTTCCATCATGAAGAATGAGAATATACTATGAAGATAAATATGAACCACTCGTTCTATGGGATAACTGGAATTATAATGAGATATGGTATGTCATAACATATCAATAGCCAACATGGTGTATCACTATCATGAATAAATATATAAGCTATCATTTGAAAGAAATAAAACTGGAATCAATGATATATTACACTCTGGTAATTTAATATATACATACGTATATAAAATATGTGTATATATATATATATGGACATGATCTATTTATATCTGCTGTACCCATTAACGATGGTCATTTTCGACAGTGATGTTTAGCTACCCAAGGCAAATTAGTTGGTAAATCCAAAACATAGATCAAAGAAGGTGAGCATTTGCCACTATTTTGCAACTAGTGGCAAGAACCCTGATGTTTAGCCAATTCTATCATTCGGGGGGGGTTGTTGGTAAATTATAGCAAAACAATGCGAAAAACATGGTGTGCGATTCATGATATTAGGTTTACCACTGTAGAACCCCCCAAAAAAGATAGAAGAGGGTAACATAACATTACCACTATTTAAGGACTGGTTTTTACTGTTCCGCATCTTTTGTGGGGTGCTAGTCGGAAACCCAATCAAAAACCATAGTTGAATCCACTTAAGCAGTGTTCAAAACCCTCTGTCCATTTACACTGGTTGGTTCTTATGATTTCCCAACTCATGTGATAATCCCCAATATATTGGATGGATTTGGAATGGATTTGGATATATACAGTATAAGCCCATAATTGGCCCATAGTCATATTATAACATCATATAACATCCATGTAACATCATATAACATCAATGTAATCATCAATGTAATCATCAAACTTGAACACTCCACACTTTTGAAATCCACATCCAGCATCCACCTCCTGTAGGTCCCTGCAGACGAGCCATCAACTCAGAGCGGAGCCTGGTGATTTCACAGTGCGATGGACATGGAGATGACCCATTCGGTTTGATGATCTATTTACCTATGGACCTATATACTATATAGATCTAATATGTTCAAAAAAATGTTCTAAAACATGTTCTAACAGTTTGCTTTGGTATACATGGCCCATTCGATTTAAGTTTGATGTGTTGTGATGATTTACCTCTAACATATTGTAATTTCCCATATCAAACCGTTAAATTACCAACGGACAACAAACATAAATTTGGATTTAAGCCGCAATTACAGGGATAATTAATTGAGGTCATTGGATTGATTGAAATAAACATCTGCAGGGAAAACCTGTTTTTTTTTCAAACAAGAACACACATGTTATTTGGGAACAGTTGCTAAGATAGGAGTATTGTTTATCACACGGTTTTGTTAATAGTTAAACACTCTCATTGTAAATTCGAAGTAAACATTTAAACATGGGAAATCAACCATGAACTTGATTGCAGTGTACAACCGAAAAAACAAATCAAGTTTCAGTAACACAAATGGTAAATTCGACCGACATATATTGGAATGTGAACCGACACATAAACGAATGGAAGTTTAACCAGAGTAGCAGTTTATTTTACTCAATGAAACTAGTAGGAAAAATCAAACACCCAAGCGGGAATATTTGAATATCAACACCCAATGCGGAGATTCACTAATATTAGATGAGCAAATTTACAAACAGAATCGGGGAGTAAACCACTGGAATGTCCTCTTCACAGTTTCGTCACTGCCCCAACCTCCCACAAAAAAATTGCCAAATGAAAAAGGTAAACATATCTGTATCAGATGTCAAAATCACATCTCTCCCTTTTGCACGGGAAGTCTATGACAAAACTGATGGGTCATTTCAACCGCCCAACAAAGATCAGTCATTGGTGCGCCACCAAGCAATCATCTGAGGTAAATGTGGACACAATGTGAATCCACCAGCCATGGACCAGCATCCAGCTTCACATCTACAATCAGCCAAAAACAAGGTCATGAGTCATATCCTAATTATCCATCATTCATATCCCACTTTATTCCCATTTATGTCCCAAGTTGTGGATATTTCATGATATTTCTGGTGGTTTAACATGGTTTATACATGGTTTATACATGGTTTCACTGTTTACCCAGTCATGATTCCATCACCAGCAGCTGGTCACCAGCTGCCAAGTGGCGAATCCAAGGCTCCGCCGCCGCCCAGGTTCAGGGCGGCGTTGCGGATGGAGGCGTCCAGGCTCAAACCGCCCGAGGAAGCACCTGGGCCCAGCCCAGGGTGGCCCTGACTAACCCCCAAAGACGAGTTTGAGGTTAGGGGGTCACATGGGGTTCACATTGTTTTGGGGATATTACCTGGTAGATTTTACCTTTTGGCAGTGTTCTCAATCCTTCATGATCTGATGAGATCACCTCAAGAAATCCTGCTTGCACAAATTGGACACAAGGTGTATACGTCACGTTCAGAAAGTCTTGAGCTGTGAATCTACACTTAGTATTATTTGGGCAATCTATCCCAAGAGATATTGGTCAATTGGTCAATTGGGTCGATCATGGAAAGGACCAAGCGGTTGAAGCCAACAACATTTTCTAACACCATGATCCGTGCTTTCACCCGCATCGTTTAACCACAATGATAGGTTGGAGATTCAACATCACCACAACCATCCATCTTCAGAGGCAAGGTGCTAGTCCAGGTGTTTCCTTCTCTGCGCGAGAGTTCCAAATCATTGGACACAGGCGAAGCCGCTGATGATGATGGCCGCAGAGGGGCAGACACACCGGACACAGTCGCAGGAGGTAGTTGAGCCCGTTGAGCCTCCAGAAGGGAATGCACAATGCACCCCGCACCAAGCGTTCAACCAGATGTGGGCGGATTGCGGCGGCATATTTGTTGGGCAAAATGATGATAAAGATTAATAAAGCATTGGTTGTTTTTGAATCTTTTTGGACAACCCCTCTTCAGCAAGCACGCTCCTCAGCTTGCAAAGACAGATTGCTTCGAACAGTCACCAGTTCTGCTGTTCAAGACCCCATGTCATCCCCAGGTGCCTTTCCATTCTCAGGGGACAGTTCCCTCTCTGGGAACAGCTCCCTCTTGATGTCCCGCGCATATGATATCTCCATCGGGGCTGCCTCTACTGCAGCCACCTTCACTGCAGCTGCCTCCGCTGCAGCCGCCTGCGCTGCAGCTGCCTCTGCCGCAGCTGCCTCCGCCGCTGCAGCTGCAGCGGCCGCAGCGGCGGCTGCAGCTTTGCGCAGGTCGTGCGCTGCCATGGCGGCTGCCGTGCGTAGCAGGGCCTGGGAGGATGATGACTGGCAGGACAACTGGCAGGACGACATCTGGGTGTGGGTCATGCTTGGCACACTTTAAAATCAAGTTTAATAGGCTAGGAAGAAGTATAATTCTGACCTTGGAACGCTCAGAAAATGCCTGCAATATCCTGCCTGCAATCAACAGGGCTTTGGCTTGGACTTAAATTTCAAAACATGGTTCTTGCGTTCCAGACTGCGCCACAGAGCCCCAAACTTCCCCGTCAATATCTACCATGTCCGGACGCACAGGAGTTTGGAAACCCACGTGCCAAATACCGAGGAAAACCTAAATCGTCCCATACGTCAGCAATTAGTGTAGCAGGCACCATATTGGAGAAAGCTGGGTTCAAAAATCAAACATGGTCCAGGTATATCTTTGCTGAGTCATGGTTTGAACCTTCCCAACAAAAAAAATAGTCATTAAAAATCACAGTCTCAGGTAGCCTTTGTGAGTGAGGTCATTTCAGGTTGCTAAGAATGATCCCGAGGTATGTCCAACAGTATACCCTCTGGTATCACACATAGCCACACAAATACAGGCAAAAACATATCAGATCATCATACATCATAAGAGAGGTTCTATGACTGTCCCTTTCAAAACCATGGTTTCCCATTGCTGCGTTTGATTCCAAGGAGGGTACCCACAGTCATCCATCAACACCCATCCGACCAAAGTGGGACCGCTGGCACCTGCACTTCCACAGCTGCAGAGCTCTTCGCAGCAAAACGATCTCGCGCCAAGATTGTCTGCAGAGTGGCCTGTGATCCATTGAGTTTTCCCTTTTCAAAGCTGCAGCAGTTTCTGGTGGATTTTGAGGGCCCCAAAATAAATGGGCCATGGGTGTCATTTGGTCTACTTCAGTCTCAAGATGTAATCCATTTTGCTGGTTGATCTTTTTAACCCATGCTAACATTATCCGCCGACCCCTGCCGTCAGCAGGGGGAGCGCGTCAGAGGAGGCCTTACTAGCAACAAGATGCCAGAAGGGGCGAAGAGTTTGTGCAGAACGAAAGCCGGCCCCAGAAGGACACGAGCAGGGTGGCAGTTGGCAATGTAGAAACGCGGGAAAAGTCAAGGTTTGGAGCTAGTTTCTAGTCGGTTCAGAAAGTGACGTTTGGCAGTCTGGGATACGGGCCGCGGGCCCAATCCGTCCTTCACTGCCATGGTGTTTTAGCCCTGCGACACGGTCCTTGGACTCCAGCTTGGACCGAAGCGGTGCAGAACGAAAGCCGGCTCCAGGAGGACACGAGCAGGGTGGCAGTTGGCAGTGCAGAAACGCAGGAAAAGTCAAGGTTTGGAGCTAGTTTCTAGTCGGTTCAGAAAGTGACGTTTGGCAGTCTGGGATACGGGCCGCGGGCCCAATCCGTCCTTCACTGCCATGGTGTTTTAGCCCTGCGACACGGTCCTTGGACTCCAGCTTGGACCGAAGCGGTGCAGAACGAAAGCCGGCTCCAGGAGGACACGAGCAGGGTGGCAGTTGGCAGTGCAGAAACGCAGGAAAAGTCAAGGTTTGGAGCTAGTTTCTAGTCGGTTCAGAAAGTGACGTTTGGCAGTCTGGGATACGGGCCGCGGGCCCAATCCGTCCTTCACTGCCATGGTGTTTTAGCCCTGCGACACGGTCCTTGGACTCCAGCTTGGACCGAAGCGGGGCAGAACGAAAGCCGGCTCCAGGAGGACACGAGCAGGGTGGCAGTTGGCAGTGCAGAAACGCAGGAAAAGTCAAGGTTTGGAGCTAGTTTCTAGTCGGTTCAGAAAGTGACGTTTGGCAGTCTAGGATACGGGCCGCGGGCCCAATCCGTCCTTCACTGCCATGGTGTTTTAGCCCTGCGACACGGTCCTTGGACTCCAGCTTGGACCGAAGCGGTGCAGAACGAAAGCCGGCTCCAGGAGGACACGAGCAGGGTGGCAGTTGGCAGTGCAGAAACGCAGGAAAAGTCAAGGTTTGGAGCTTATTTCTAGTTGGTTCAGAAAGTGACGTTTGGCAGTCTGGGATACGGGCCGCAGGCCCAATCCGTCCTTCACTGCCATGGTGTTTTAGCCCTGCGACACGTCCTTGGACTCCAGCTTGGACCGAAGCGGTGTAGAACGAAAGCCGGCTCCAGGAGGACACGAGCAGGGTGGCAGTTGGCAGTGCAGAAACGTAGGAAAAGTCAAGGTTTGGAGCTAGTTTCTAGTCGGTTCAGAAAGTGACGTTTGGCAGTCTGCGATACGGGCCGCGGGCCCAATCCGTCCTTCACTGCCATGGTGTTTTAGCCCTGCGACACGGTCCTTGGACTCCAGCTTAGACCGAAGCGGTGCAGAACGAAAGCCGGCTCCAGGAGGACACGAGCAGGGTGGCAGTGGCAGGCATAAACGCAGTAAAGTCAAGGTTTGAGCCGCCAGAACGAAAGCCGGCTCCAGGAGGACACGAGCAGGGTGGCAGTGGCAGTGCAGAAACGCAGGAAAAGTCAAGGTTTGGAGCTAGTTTCTAGTCGGTTCAGAAAGGGACGTTTGGCAGTCTGGGATACGGGCCGCAGGCCCAATCCGTCCTTCACTGCCATGGTGTTTTAGCCCTGCGACACGTCCTTGGACTCCAGCTTGGACCGAAGCGGGGCAGAACGAAAGCCGGCTCCAGGAGGACACGAGCAGGGTGGCAGTTGGCAGTGCAGAAACGCAGGAAAAGTCAAGGTTTGGAGCTAGTTTCTAGTCGGTTCAGAAAGTGACGTTTGCCAGTCTGGGATACGGGCCGCGGGCCTAATCCGTCCTTCACTGCATTGGTGTTTTAGCCCTGCGACACGGTCCTTGGACTCCAGCTTAGACCGAAGTGGTGCAGAACGAAAGCCGGCTCCAGGAGGACACGAGCAGGGTGGCAGTTGGCAGTGCAGAAAGCAGGAAAAGTCAAGGTTTGGAGCTAGTTTCTAGTCGGTTCAGAAAGTGACGTTTGGCAGTCTGGGATACGGGCCGCGGGCCCCATCCGTCCTTCACTGCCATGGTGTTTTAGCCCTGCGACACGGTCCTTGGACTCCAGCTTGGACCGAAGCGGTGCAGAACGAAAGCCGGCTCCAGGAGGACACGACAGGGTGGCAGTTGGCAGTGCAGAAACGCAGGAAAAGTCAAGGTTTGGAGCTAGTTTCTAGTCGGTTCAGAAAGTGACGTTTGGCAGTCTGGGATACGGGCCGCGGGGCCAATCCGTCCTTCACTGCCATGGTGTTTTAGCCCTGCGACACGGTCCTTGGACTCCAGCTTGGACCGAAGCGGTGCAGAACGAAAGCCGGCTCCAGGAGGACACGAGCAGGGTGGCAGTAGGCAGTGCAGAAACGCAGGAAAAGTCAAGGTTTGGAGCTAGTTTCTAGTCGGTTCAGAAAGTGACGTTGGCAGTTGGGTACGGGCCGCGGGCCTCATCCGTCCTTCACTGACATGGGTTTTAGCCCTGCGACACGGTCTTGGACTCCAGCTTAGACCGAAAGCGGGCAAGAACGAAAGCCGGCGCCAGGAGGACACGAGCAGGGTGGCAGTTGGCAGTGCAGAAACGCAGGAAAAGTCAAGGTTTGGAGCCGCAGAACGAAAGCCGGCTCCAGGAGGACACGAGAAGGGTGGCAGTTGGCAGTGCAGAAACGCAGGAAAAGTCAAGGTTTGGAGCTAGTTTCTAGTCGGTTCAGAAAGTGACGTTTGGCAGTCTAGGATACGGGCCGCGGGCCCAATCCGTCCTTCACTGCCATGGTGTTTTAGCCCTGCCACGGACCGGTCATTGGACTCCAGCTTGGACCGAAGAGGTGCAGCAGACCAGAACGAAAGCAGGTCCAGGAGGGACACGAGCAGGGTGCAGTGTCAGTGCAGAAACGCCGGAAAAGTCAAGGTTGGAGCTAGTTTCTGTCGAGTTCAGAAAGGGACGTTTGCAGTCTGGGATACGGGCCGCGGGCCCAATCCGTCCTTCACTGCCATGGTGTTTTAGCCCTGCGACACGGTCCTTGGACTCCAGCTTGGACCGAAGCGGTGCAGAACGAAAGCCGGCTCCAGGAGGACACGAGCAGGGTGGCAGTTGGGAATGCAGAAACGCAGGAAAAGTCAAGGTTTGGAGCTAGTTTCTAGTCGGTTCAGAAAGTGACGTTTGGCAGTCTGGGATACGGGCCGCGGGCCCAATCCGTCCTTCTCTGCCATGGTGTTTTAGCCCTGCGACACGGTCCTTGGACTCCAGCTTGGACCGAAGCGGTGCAGAACGAAGGCCGGCTCCAGGAGGACACGAGCAGGGTGGCAGTTGGCAGTGCAGAAACGCAGGAAAAGTCAAGGTTTGGAGCTAGTTTCTAGTTGGTTCAGAAAGTGACGTTTGGCAGTCTGGGATACGGGCCGCAGGCCCAATCCGTCCTTCACTGCCATGGTGTTTTAGCCCTGCGACACGTCCTTGGACTCCAGCTTGGACCGAAGCGGTGCAGAACGAAAGCCGGCGCCAAGAGGACACGAGCAGGGTGGCAGTTGGCAGTGCAGAAACGCAGGTAAAGTCAAGGTTTGGAGCTAGTTTCTAGTCGGTTCAGAAAGTAACGTTTGGCACTCTGGGCTACGGGCCGCAGAACGAAAGCCGGCTCCAGGAGGACACGAGCAGGGTGGCAGTTGGCAATGCAGAAACGCAGGACAAGTCCAGGTTTGGAGCTAGTTTCTAGTCGGTTCAGAAAGTGACGTTTGGCAGTCTGGGATACGGGCCGCGGGCCCAATCCGTCCTTCACTGCCATGGTGTTTTTTAGCCCTGCGACACGGTCCTTGGACTCCAGCTTGGACCGAAGCGGTGCAGAACGAAAGCCGGCGCCAGGAGGACACGAGCAGGGTGGCAGTTGGCAGTGCAGAAACGCAGGAAAAGTCAAGGTTTGGAGCTAGTTTCTAGTCGGTTCAGAAAGTGACGTTTGGCAGTCTGGGGTCCTTCACTGCCATGGTGTTTTAGCCCTGCGACACGGTCCTTGGACTCCAGCTTGGACCGAAGCGGTGCAGAACGAAAGCCGGCTCCAGGAGGAGCAGGGTGGCACTTGGCAGTGCAGAAACGCAGGAAAAGTCAAGGTTTGGAGCTAGTTTCTAGTCGGTTCAGAAAGTGACGTTTGGCAGTCTGGGATACGGGCCGCGGCCCAATCCGTCCTTCACTGCCATGGTGTTTTAGCCCTGCGACACGGTCCTTGGACTCCAGCTTGGACCGAAGCGGTGCAGAACGAAAGCCGGCTCCAGGAGGACACGAGCAGGGTGGCAGTTGGCAGTGCAGAAACGCAGGAAAAGTCAAGGTTTGGAGCTAGTTTCTAGTCGGTTCAGAAAGTGACGTTTGGCAGTCTGGGATACGGGCCGCGGGCCCAATCCATCCTTCACTGCCGTGGTGTTTTAGCCATGCGACACGGTCCTTGGACTCCAGCTTGGACCGAAGTGGTGCAGAACGAAAGGCGGCTCCAGGAGGACACGAGCAGGGTGGCAGTTGGCAGTGCAGAAACGCAGGAAAAGTCAAGGTTTGGAGCTAGTTTCTAGTCGGTTCAGAAAGTGACGTTTGGCAGTCTGGGATACGGGCCGCGGGCCCAATCCGTCCTTCACTGCCATGGGTTTTAGCCCTGCGACACGGTCCTTGGACTCCAGCTTGGACCGAAGCGGTGCAGAACGAAAGCCGGCTCCAGGAGGACACGAGCAGGGTGGCAGTTGGCAGTGCAGAAACGCAGGAAAAGTCAAGGTTTGGAGCTAGTTTCTAGTCGGTTCAGAAAGTGACGTTTGGCAGTCTGGGATACGGGCCGCGGGCCCAATCCGTCCTTCACTGCCATGGTGTTTTAGCCCTGCGACACGGTCCTTGGACTCCAGCTTGGGCCGAAGCGGTGCAGAACGAAAGCCGGCTCCAGGAGGACACGAGCAGGGTGGCAGTTGGCAGTGCAGAAACGCAGGAAAAGTCAAGGTTCGGAGCTAGTTCCTAGTCGGTTCAGAAAGTGACGTTTGGCAGTCTGGGATACGGGCCGCGGGCCCAATCCGTCCTTCACTGCCACGGTCCTTGGACTCCAGCTTGGACCGAAGCGGTGCAGAACGAAAGCCGGCTCCAGGAGGACACGAGCAGGGTGGCAGTTGGCCGTGCAGAAACGCAGGAAAAGTCAAGGTTTGGTCTGGGATACGGGCCGCGGGCCCAATCCGTCCTTCACTGCCATGGTGTTTCAGCCCTGCGACACGGTCCTTGGACTCCAGCTTGGACCGAAGTGGTGCAGAACGAAAGGCGGCTCCAGGAGGACACGAGCAGGGTGGCAGTTGGCAGTGCAGAAACGCAGGAAAAGTCAAGGTTTGGAGCTAGTTTCTAGTCGGTTCAGAAAGTGACGTTTGGCAGTCTGGGGTCCTTCACTGCCATGGTGTTTTTAGCCCTGCGACACGGTCCTTGGACTCCAGCTTGGACCGAAGCGGTGCAGAACGAAAGCCGGCTCCAGGAGGACACGAGCAGGGTGGCAGTTGGCAGTGCAGTGTCGTCTCGGGTCTCTTTAGGATGCCATTTAAAGTTTCATACTGCGGTTACGAACGGGGGCTTCGGGTATGGGTCTTAAGTGCTAGAGCAACCCTTTAGGTCCCCAAGACACCTGCCCAATGACGAAAGCTCCTATTTCTTGAGCCATGAAAAAGTGTCAGAGCACATAGTTGTGCGTGTCATCCTGCAGGGGTCCATGCTGCTTGCATGTGCACAGTGCCAAACGCACATACAAATGGTTTGTTTAGGTCAGTTTCTGGTTTCTTTAGGGTTCATTTCATGCTTACGACACAGAGGCAGGCATGACCCTCCAGTGTCCAGGGGTCGGCGGCAGAGGGCGTAGCCCTTTAATAAATGTATGTAAAATGTAGAATAGAATTTGTTATTATGTGCATGATATAGTTGTGTATGTGTATGTATATTATATATATAGCAATAGAACGTAATAGAATGGAGCTTTGTTGTTCCCATCCACTTCCAGTCGAGACACTGTCTGGGACCAACGATCCTTTTCGCCGCCCAAACCATCAATGAGCTTGTTGGCGTTGCCAAGCCTGGACGACAGACATTGATGTCATGATGTCGATCGGTGGGACAAGTGACTGTTGGGAACAGAGTCGGAAGCGTATGCAATGCAGCTGAGCAGCTTGATCACACACATCTCCATCTCATGTGCTAGCTGCTCCTGAGCAATGTCCCCCAAGACAGCTCGCGTTTTCTGTGATTTAGGTGCTGAAGAAACACGGCATCAAGTCAAACCAGCCGATAGACCCACCAAAGATGTGAATTCAAGTTGAACCCGTTCGGGCATCTAGCTTCGCTTCAAGAATATCGCCATATCGCTCCTGCTTTGCCACTGCATCGTTGTAGTCCCCTTCCAACTGTGCGAGCTTGTCTTCGACCGCCTGCGTGGCATTTCTATGATGTTAGGTCCCCATAGGTCCCCTAGAATCAACCAGGACGTGAGATTTATTGATATTTTCCTGATCCACAAGTCTAAGTGATCATTCCGTTGGTGGAGAGATGCTCTTGCCTCGATACTGAATTTTTTAGACAGTGTATCACTCTCCACCCCCACCTTCAGCTCTGCTTGCGCATTCCGCAGCTTTGTCATGGTGACCTTGTCGCTTCAGCAGGAATTGTGAACTTTATCGATCTGAAACTGTACAAAGATAATTTCAAAGATATGCTTGCAAACAATCATCTTCCATCTTCCCATATTCCAACAGTGCTGGGATTTACGCAGCCATTTGCTGCCACCTCTTCTTCCACAGCTATTATGAAAGCTACCCATGGAAGCTACGGTGCCTCCAAGCTGGCTTCTGCGTCCGCCAACATCCTGTGCAATGCATGACCAGCTGTGCAAAAACCGAATGCATCTGGCATCCAATCCGGGACCAATCCAACATGTGTCATCTTCACTGGTATCTTCACTGGTATCTTCACTGGTATCTACTGTATCTTCGAGTGGCAGTGAGATTCACAGAAAATCTTCATTTAGCTGAGCTCATCCCGTGCCGCCGTGCTGCGCCTTCTCTTGGGCTCGACTGCTTTTGCCACAAAGTGGTATTTGTGCATTGCTCGGGTCCTCGGCGACTTGGGGATTTCAGTCTTCATCACAGCCCTTTTTCATCCTTTTTCTTCAAGGCTCGAGAACATGTCTTCAGCATACACTGGTATAATCGGGTATATACATGTATATACATCATTCTGAACCTTTTGCCCTCAAACCGATTTGCCTCTGTGAAACAAATCAATTTGAATCCATTTCAAGTGACTTAAGGGACTTAAGGTGGTTCTATGTCATTAAATGTCATTAAATGTCATTAATCTATACCAATATGCTGCTATCTGGTCACAGGTTGAGATTCGCACCACATGCACAAGGCCTCACAAGCCACTGACGACTTCTTGATCGCCGCAGGATCAAAGTCCTGCTCGGTTGCAAATCTTGCAAGGTAAGGAGGACAAAGGCCACCAGATCCAGATTCAACCAACAGAAAAGGAATTTAACTTAAACAACACAAATGGCTCAACCTAGCCAACTTGGTTATGTAACCCAGCAAATATTTTGTTTTTTCGGGGGGGAAATCCTCAGTTGATGGTGGGTTGAACATCCATGAACGCCAGCAAATTGCTAGCTTTTCGAACCATGCCGCACCCAATCATGGCGAGAAAAGTTTTCTCATCTTTAAAGACCAGGCTCGTTTCACAATGCTGGAGGAATCTATGTGAGTTTGTCTCAAAACTTAGAACTCCAAAATCCCATCCTTTTTGTTTTCCTATAAAAATTGCCATATCTCGGTCAAATCCCCCATTTTTCGTTGAACCCATACCAGTTCCTAGGAACAGCAGGTCCGTGGATCAAGTAGAATCTCCTCACGGTCCACGTACTCTGAGATCTTCTTGATGACAGGTTCCGCGATGTTGTCCTGACCAAATGAGTTTGTCAAGGATCTACCTCCAAGGTATTGGCAATGTTTACATTCTTCTGCGGGGAAAATTATGATAAGCCACAAAAAAAACACTGGATTATGCGATTTTGCGGGGTTACCGGTTACCTCATTTTCAACAAGCATGTTGGATGTAGATGAGGTCGAAACGGCCGGTCTTTTGTCAGTGTCAACTGAAATTCAGTGCCCTCGTCCAGGGGGTCAAGACTGGCCAGGCCTTGTCAAACTCAAAGAGATCGTCCAGAAGTTTCTTGGGATCGCTCAGTGGTCCCTTTTGAGAAGCCTGGAGCTGAGAGGAATCAAAGTTCAATGCACAGTGCTATGTTCAACTTTGCTACCCTTGTCCTTCTACTGACAGATACTCAATGCACAGTGTAAGTTTGAATCAGCAAAAAGTCTCGCAAAAGGAACACCGGACTTCCCTGGCATACTGCCTCCCAGTAGTCATCAAACTTCTTTCCCGGCTGATTCGGGTCTGCTTTCTTGATCGGCCTTGGGATCATTTGCAGAGCATCGATGCCAGGGTGCAAATCGTGAACCAAAAGGTGGTCAAAAAAGGCCAACCACCAAGCTTCACACTTGACCTGAAACATCACGCAAACAGCCTCAACAGGAAACACAGGAAACTCAACCCACCATGTTAACAAGCTCCAAAAAACCAAGCACCCTGAGGGAGCTATGCCATTCTGCGCCCGAAATTTGGGTACGTTTCAGTCGTATCATGTCGTATCCCAGCGCCTCCAAGGTCAACTTCACACCATCCGGCGGCTTGGCCAAAGCCTTGATCTCCTGCGATCACTGGACTGCACCTCAAATTACAGGGTTTCGCCTGGGATGAAATCAGGAATTTAAGTCATACTTATATCAAGTATTACTAGATACTATCTCACTATATCTCACTTATCTAAAATCTAAAACGCGGCATCAAGGTTTTTGGGTCCTTGAAACATCTGGAAACCCAGAAACAAGTTTTGCAAAAAAAATGAAGGTACGACCCAGTATCCAAGTTGTGAGATGTTTCGTAGGTCCTGCAGGCTCGAGAGCTTCAAGGCTTTCAGCGCCTTCTCTGCCACGTTCAGTGCAGGCCTTGGTAACGGCCGATGGAGCGCCTTGCCAAGTTTCATGGTGCTGATCATTGGTGGAATAAAAAGGTCCCAAAAGATCCCAATAGAGTGTTTAAGAATATCCCTGATTTTTTCCGATTTAAAGGGTGGGTGCGGTGTCGTGAATAAGCCCCAGGCAGTGCTTCGTTCAGATCTTTCTCTGCATCTTCTTTGATGGCAGTGGCTTTTTCGGCCTTGCAGCAAACACAAGTCAAAGCAACAAACAGCTCTAAGCATTATCCTGGTAACTGTTACAATGATGGGCCACTACTAGTCCTGCAACTGGGTTGATTTCGCCCTCTTCACATAATGTATATATGTATATATTATATCATTATTGTCAGTATTATCATTGCTAGTAATGTGCGTATTGTTACTCTTACTATCATTGCTACTAATTTTATTGTTGTTACTACTCTTATTACTCTTATTACTCGTTTTACTCTTATGACTCGTATTGCTCTTATTATTCCTCGTATTACTCTTGTTGTTACTATTATTAATATCCTTATTAGATAATAGTATCATTACTAAATTATCGCTATTGCTATTTCTGTTGCTACTATATATATATATTAACCCCATAAATCCCACAAAATCTTGAAATTTCTAAGCCACTAACAGCTGACAGCCGCATGGTACCCCCATCACTGAGCTGCCCAACTCCTTCTTTGGCTTCCGCCTCGACTACCTGACACTCCTCTTTGGTGACTGCGGCCTGGGCGCGGATCCGTTGCATTTGGGGTGCGCAAGAAAATCATCAACAACTGGGGGATGTTCACCACAAGATTGGTGAAAAATATGAAACATAATACACGCTGTAGAACTATTATAAATCATATATAACTATG